TGTTTCTTTAAGTAACTTTTGACCTTTTATCATCCCTCTTTATCTTGCCATCCATTCAAAATCATTGAACATGTTTGCCTCTATTTCTCTTGCTTTCATCATGCCCTATGATTATTAGATTCTCCAGGCCTTCTTTCCTCATTATCTCAGAAATTTCAACTATCATTCTGCTAAGTTTCTTTTCAGTTCCCGTTTTCCTTAAAAAGTCTTCATTGCTTACGTATTCTCAGCATTCATTGATAGAACCACATTTCAAGTCTTTTCTTCATCTTTTAATGGATTGTCTAGTATTTACTACCATACAGAAGACTGCATATTACATAGCAGTTTTTTTTTTGTTTATCAGGACATTTGCCTATCTTTCAATACTTTATTTAATTTCTAAAAGGCATCTTTCCCTATTCTTATACACCTTTAGATTTGTGTCACATTACCAAGATAGTTAAATGTCTGTACTTGCTTCCTTTTGATGTCTCCAATACACAGCTCACACTTTGGGCTTTCACCTTTGCTGATAACTATGTATTCTGTTGTCTTTCTGTTCATGTAAAAGTTACCTTCATTTAATAATGACAATTATTATTACTAATTTTTTTTTTTTTTTTTTTATCAAGTTTTATTTTTTTAATTTTTTTTTTTTACTAAATTTGAAAGAGAAAATCATTTCTGTCTAAATTTCTGGGATCAGTAGTTATTTACACTATTACTACATTATTATTTACACTATTTACATGCAAACTTTTGTCTTCATCTTTGTTATCATCACAATGTTTTGGCAGTTGTGCCCTCCAGTCTTCATCTGGTTTATGCACGTCCAGGAAACCTACGGGGAATTTCAAACTGAACCCTTTATTGAATCTACAATGCTAGATTGTTCTCATTCCACTGATGTCTAGAGATGAAAATCATTGCTTTATGCTTTCTCTTAATTCATATTAAAGTGCAGCATTAAAACTCACTGTACACATACTATCTGGTTATAATTGCGCTTGTCCTCTGCTTTGTTATTTTGCATGGCCATTACACCCTGCCAATACCTCATAAATAATGGACTATTCCATTTTGATTCCATGGAAAAAAAGAAAAAAGACTTCTTGGCTTCAGTGAGGAAAACATAGGTAAGTAGAAGTGGAGAGAGAGAATCAGATTAATCTTGATAATAAATACTACACTTTCTTAACCAAAAGGCTGAGAAGTAATGGTGACTGCAATAAATTTGCCATTTTTCAGAAACTGTTTCCAACAATGAAAATCAAGTACAACAGTCACCAAAAATCCAGTTACCATAAACAAAATAACATTTGTCTGCTGAATTATTATTAAAAGAAATGTTCGTAAAACTGAGATTAAGGTAGAAAGTGTTTAACATCTCCTGCCAATACCTCATAAATAATGAACTATTTCATTTTGACCACGAGAAAAGACACTTCAGTGAGAAAATGAATGAATGAAAGAAAGTGTTTAACATCCGCCAATACCTCATAAATAATGGACTATTCCGTTTTGATTGTGGAGATAAATAAGAGACGTACTCTATCTGGTTTTACTAAGAAAATAAATCAAAGAAAGGAAGATTGAACAGTTTCAGTGAAATGCAAAAAAGTTATCAATTTCAAATTTTTTCATTTCTAACCCCTTCTTAAAATAATCACCTGCATTGATATTTAATATTTATGATTGTTATTAATATTTTGTTAAAGTTATTAAGCTCCAATATTTAACGATGTGATAAGGAATTTCTCTAGACATTTTATTGTCGTAGAGCTCACCATGAGCTTATTCAATTATTAACTGAAGAATTAAGATTCATCAGAAATTTAAAATATGAAAACCATGCAATTTTCTTGAGGTCCTTCTAGTATAGTATTAATATACTATCTATCTAATATGTGCCACGCTCAAAAAGAAAAGAAAAAAATAACAACAGTGAATAAAGTCTCATTGAAATTCAATAGCAATAAAGAAATGATAAAATTTGAGAATCAACTTGTCTTTCATCAACATCATTCCCCCCCCACATTGTTTTCTCTCTGGTTTTTTTCTTACGTTTTCTCTTTCACACATTCTTTGCCAATTCCCCCATTCCATTGTTTTCCTAATGCCGCTACCAGACAGAAATGCAGTGGAGATATATAGTGAAAAAAAGACAAATGGAAAACTTAGCTGACGTGTTTCGTACTTTGAAGGACTTTATCAAAGCAATATTTCCGGTTTGATAAAGCCCCTCAGAGGAGGAAATATATCAGCTAAGTTTTCCATTTGCCTTGTTTTATATTGTCTTTTTACAGATATACTCTATCTAAAGAGAGAGAGAATTGAAAAAAATGGTTTAACAATTAAAACAGACTTCATCCAAAAGTCTGATGATTTAGGCACAGTTTTAATTGTTAAACAATTTTGTTCAATTCTATTATTAATCTTGGAATTGGGACCAATTTTAATCTTTTTTGTAGGTAAATAACACACACATACATACATACATTCATATATATATATATATATATATATATATATATATACAGTGAGTGAGTGCTCATAAAACAGTGATCAATGTTCAATAAGGGAGCTAAAATTTATACTACTAATAAATATACATTTTTGCTCCTGCTTGGTACAACTGAGTTTCATGCATGTGACAATCATTAGGTACGGCCTGAAAATTTTCAATATGTGCCTGACAATTGCCATGTGCAAACATGAAACTCAGAGTTGTACAAAACTGAAGAACAAAATGTATATTATTATTATTATAAATATATTTAAGAAAAAAAAAAAAAAAAAAAAAAAAAGAAAATCACCTAAAACTAACAATTCACAATCACAGTTTTTATATATAAATATAATACTACTTTGCTTAAAAAAAGTAAATCACCTTTTTTTCTGAACCTATTCAACATCACTTTAAAATGAAACAAAAATTTTAATTCTTAATTCTGGAATGTAATAATTTCTGTGTCACGATGAAAACATTTTAAATTATAATATATATCTCCAAATGTGAGAAAGAACAGATGGAATAAAATTATATATATATATATATATATGATAATATTAGCGGAAAATATACATACATATGCAAAATATATATAAAAAAATACCCATACATGTATATTTTCAGAAAAAAATTTTCCAAGAGGAAGAATCCAGGTAGAACAATATCTAGGACAGAGTAAGGATATAATAAAAGGCTTAAACACTAATATTCCATGGTCATAATTTATTCCATTGGAATAAATAAATACGATCAAATCATCAGACCTACAAATTCAAAATGAAAACAGAAAAAAACAACTCCGGAAATCAAACACAATCGTTATATTCATCTTCATATATTTATATTTGATTTCTAACCTGTAGTCAATATTAATTTGTCAAATTTTCTCAATTACAAAGCGGCCCTTTAAGTAAACACAATTTTATTTTCCTTCGTCCCATCTCTCTCCCCCACCTTTTCTCTTTCTTTCCCCCCCACCTCCTATCCTAATTGTCTATGGTGTGTATATGTCACCACGAAATGTATCTTTATGCATTAGACATCCGTCGACTTTCTTTCTCTCCTCTTTTTAAATCACCCCCCCCCACATCTCCTAAAATTCTCTGTTAAGGTTTCATCTCCCTCCTCCTGATACTTACACTTTCTCTAAATTCTGTTTTGATTTCCGGAGTTGTTTTTTCTGTTTTCATTTTGAATTTGTAGGTCTGATGATGTGGATCGTAATAAAGAGTTCAGTTCGACATTCCAACAACTTGAAGAAAGCCGGAGCACACAATGGCGAAAACGTAATAAATATGGCAACAAAGATGAGGACAATAGTCCGAATAATGTAAATAGTGTACATAATACCTCATCTCAGAAATATAGACAGATATATATATATATATATATATATATATATATCTCTCAACTGTGATTCTAAATTGTTGGTTATTTTTTTCTTTTTAATTTCAAAGAATTCAGAATAATGTTGAAGTGATAGGTGTGCCATCAGTATGTGTGAATATATTTCTTAAGTGGTCATAAAAAGGGGGGTGTATAACACTTTTCACAAAACAAACATATTACCTTGATTCTAGACAGAATTGCCAGACAGCAATACTTTGCACTTAATCAGGGCACACAGGTCCTCCATGAAGAAGTGCTGATCCATCATAATCCAGTAATTTTTGACACATACTAAGCTTGTATGTCCAAGTTTAAGTGTGTATACACACTCATATTTGAAGATGTGTTACAAATTGTAGTCTAATATTCCAGTGTTTATTCTAGTTGAAGGTGACATCATCCATTACATTACAAAACACACATACAAAACTAACATATAACAATTACAACACACATTATTATTGCCTAACACACAGTAAATTATTGGTGTTTAATGCATTTAAAAGGTGACCAAATTTTTGTAAACAAAGTAATCAATATTAAAAAAAAACAAAAAAACAGAGCAACTATAACTAACAGATAAAAAACTAAGTCTTTTGAACTTTTTTTTTATCTGTTAACTAACTACACATATTAGTAATTTAAAATCAATCATTTTTCACCTGACAAAAAAAAAAAGTAAAACAGATCTGTTAATCTGGCAGGTCTGTCCTGATACAAATGTTTTGAAAACATACAATATTTAAAGTTTCTTTTTTAATAGGATATATTGTTTAAAAACAATAAATAAAATAAAAGTGGAGTCAATTTCTCTTAATCTGAATAAAAGTTCTAGTCACTTGAAATAAACTCATTCCCTAATTAGAATTAAAGCAAAATCTGTGTTGAAAATGTAGTGTTAAATACAATTTTTTTAGTAGCACACCAAAATACTATCAGAGTGTTAATGTAAACTGAAAAGTCAAAAATGTCAATAATAATCAATAAGTGCAAGATTAACAGATTATCATACAAACTATTCTACTAACATGTCTACCAACAGAAGAAAAAATAGTGTCACTTTATAGAATATTAACTAAATAGGCAACATTGTCATTTCTTTTTAAAGAAAACTCACCTTAGCTTGGTATTTTTCCAGAAGGCCACCAGACTTGAAATATAAAAACCAAGTTCTATTATAGATATTTTGCTTTAGAAACACTAAAATATTTACATTACGAAGGTTATGTGTGTGTGCATGCGTGTGTGTGTGTGTGTGTGTGTGTAACAGTAAATGTGGGTTTCTACCTCTCACAAGGTTTCACCCACCTACTAATCATACAGAAAATCTGAAGTAAAGAAAATATATACCGAGTTGTGGAGAAAAAATTAATCTGGTTTAAGTATAATGCGAGTTATCGCCCTTTAATTAGACTTTCGTTTTAACGTTTTCTAGCATTATCTTTAATTTTATCGAGATCGTTGCTCATCATTCACTTTACTTCTTTCATCTTAATTTCTATTTTTTTTTTTTTTTAAATCACAACTGCTCCAAAAATTCTACAACCGTTATTAAATGGTATGGATTACTTATATCCAATTCACAATATTTACCTATTGTAACCTAGAAAGGGTTACTGAAGGAGGAATAACCAAAACAGAGATTGGAAATGAAATGGTAATCTTTATACCATCAACAAAATACAATACTCGCCAGCAGCATGGAGTAGGTAAACCACTGCTAATGATGAACTACTTAGACAAAATATTACCCCCACTATTGTATGTCCAACGTATTTATGAGGATTGGGACATACCCATTAGTGTTCATAGGTACAGTATATAACATTATCAATGACTGCCAAATGTAAGGTGGATTAAGTCTGATATATTGTTTTTTTTAGTTTATTTTGTTTAAACATTATTTTTGGTGGATACTCATATTCAAGTAGAAGCTATGTTTTTTAATTAAACAGTATTTATTGAACTGCATCTACTGGCCTGAATTCGAGAAATCTTGGAAAAATATTGAATATTTAGGCCAGTAGATGTAGTTCAATAAAAAAAAAAAAAACATAGCTTCTACTTGAATATGAGTATCCACCAAAAATAATGTTTAAACAAAAATTAAAAAAAATTACATACACACACACATATATATATTTTTTTTTTTTTTTTTTGAACAATAAAAAATATTAAAAAAATTAAAACCTTCAGACACACTGGGTTGTAGATTAATATTCTTTCGTTATTATTATTATTATTATTATTTCACTTAGATTCCTTGACTAGTTTTGGCCAACATGGCCATCATCGGGAGAAGAAATATCTCTGCTTGCTGGTAGCAGTGAACTACAAAAATGAATGTCTTGATGTAGAAAATGAACTTTTGTCTGTAGTTTTCATTTGTTTTTTTATTTTTTTTATCTTTTTAACATGAATCTTTTAACATTCCTTGTGTTGGTCAAACAGTCTCTTAAGTTGTTATTTGAGATAAGAGCTGGATGGATCCATGCTGCTCTGAATTCCCTTGGTATATATATATATATATATATATATATATATATATATATGTGTGTGTGTGTGTGTGGTTGGGAGGTGTATAATAGTATCCAAAACAAAAGTAGTGGAAAGGCTATAAATGATCTATTTTTCCAAGAACTGGTCTGCTTCCTTTACCTTATTCAGGTTAGAATGGAAGACAAAAGTGTACATAAGAAAAAAATGTGTTAAGATGCCTGAGGAGAATGTGAACTTGTGTCAGACTAAGATTATTAAACACCTATATTTCTAAACAAATATTTTGTTTAATGAATTTTTCAATATTTGTCCTATTGCCTCAGAATCATTTCTAAAAATCTTGATTTCTAAACGAAAAAATGTATCAGCTGTTAATTGCTTCATAAAAAATTTATCTACAGAAATCTATGTAATGATGGAACATGAGAAAGCCTTTCACATATTACATCTTTAAACACTGTCAGATATGTCACATCAATCATTTATCACATGAATCCATGTTATGTGCTTATCATAGTGCAGTGGTAAACAGGAATTTGCTAAAAATGTTTAATTTAACAATTGTTGTCTTCTGTTATCATTAATGTATTATCTTAAAATGTAAAAATGAAAGCAGTTAAAATTAATGAAAATCAAGATTTCTGTTAAAACATTATACACATAATAAACTTGTGATTAATTACTGCATTAGTTCCTCACTACTGAAAAACCTTAACTTTTCAATGCATTTATATTTTCTAAATAAACAAACAGCAAAGTTTGTCTGCCTGTCCATATATCTGATACCCCATCTAACTCTGGCCACACTTGCTCCACATAGACATATATCCCTTTTAGATCAGGATGATCACGAGATTAACAATCTGCCCTTCATCTGGGGCTTGAACATCCAGCATTGGGATTTGTGTCCGGATGAGGAAGAAACAGTTAAAAATTCAAATTTTAAAATAACTAAAAAAAAAAAAAAAAAAAAAAAAAAAAAAGAAATTTGGTGATTTTAAAAGTTTTTAATTTATATAGAGTTTAAAGTAACACAAATAACTTTGTGAATTTAAAAAAATTTGTTTAAAATTTAGTTTAAAATATATTGGATACTTTGTGAATTGAGTTAATTTTATTTCTTAAAAATACCAAGGAATCAGAATTAAAGGGAAAGGTTCCGTAACATGGAAGTTCTGCAGAGTTTGTAATTTGAAGAACTCAACTCAATTGAAGCTCTACGGAGTATGTGATTTGAAGATCTCAATTTTCTAACCTGAACTGGACTTACAACCTGAATCAGATTTAAAGTGAGGTTTTAAAGTTTAATGGAGTGAATTGAGGAATTCAAAGTTATTTCTTCAAAATTATCATTGCTGTTTTCTAAGCTGAACAAGAGGTCCCTTTAAATTTTGGGCCAGATGCCCAATTAGCTCTCTGCAGAAGTTAACTTGATAGTTCACACAGAATGTGGCTTTTAAGCTAGTTATAAATAAAACCCTATTCTTTTAGTAATACTTGCATTTATTTTGATCACAGACAATCCTCTTCCTGAATTTTTTAATACACTTATATTATACATAAAATCCAATTCTTTTAATATTTGCCTTAAATCCTGATCACAGACAATTATTCTCATCCTAAATTTATTTCTATAGTAAAATCATTAGCAATGCTTTTATATTATACAGAAACCCAATTTTTTTTAGTAGTGTTTTCCTGTATGTTAATTCCTGAAATTTTCATTGCATTTCTAAAGTCTTTAGCAATGCATTTATATTATACATAAAACACTATTCTTTTAGTAATGCTTGCCTTAATTCCTGATCACTGACAATCCTTATTACCCAAAATTTTTCATTGCATGTCTATAGTAAAGACATTAGCAATGCATTTATACTATTCAGTCTTTTAATAATATTATATATTCTTTATTAATGATTACCTCAATTCCTGATCACCAACAATCCATTTCTATTCTAAAATCATTGCTGAAACTTATAAAATTAATTTCGAGTAAGAAAAAAAAATATCCAGTCATCAACTTCCCTTTCAAAGCACTTAGATCAATATAATGGCTAAATCACACCTGATGTATGAAAAGTAAAATTACTTCATATACAAACAACCGTTTCCTCTCAACTCTTATTCTTCAGGTGAGGTAACAGCTGTTATAGTCAAACATCAAATTGCATTCAATATTCAATACCAAACATTTGTGACTGAATATTCTTTAATTGTGCAGAGATCTTTTGCAAAGTAAACAATGAGGAAGGTACTGGTAATTTGAGGAGACTTGCTGTCACTTGACGCCCACTAACAGTCACAAACTGATTTCTGACTGAAAAAGTCTGAGTAAAAGAGGATAAATAAAACTAATAATCCATAGCATGATGTTCTGAGTGCTTTATATTTGCATTTGTAATTATAACAGCAAAAACTAAACTTCACTCGCTGTCTTTACTACACTTTTATCAAAATGTTTTAACTTGAAAAATAAAGTTATATCCAGTCCAGACACCAGTTTTCAATTTAACTTTAATTATAAGCTGAATAGAAAAAAAAAATTTAAAATGTACAAGGGAAATAAGTTTAGGTGTACTAACTGCTAATTACAGAGTTACTTTCCCTTGCCAATGTGGCCTATACTCATGGCATACCAGTAATGGTCCATTATTACATAACAGTAATGATTAATAATAACAAGTGTAGAGATAATTCACATATGCAAATGATATAAATTCTATAAATAAAAACTTGATAATATTCAGTGCTTTGCTTTGGTTTGGTTTGGTTTATTTTGTTTAACGGCATATCAACTGCAATGGGTTATTTAATGCTGACATTTTTAGGATTTTTTTTTTCAAAAACGTATTGCTGGTAATAGTTAACTATTTGCCCATAGCTGGGCCCCTAACAAATGCTACCACCCCAGATCAGGGTGGACCTGGGAACACAAGCAATTAAGAGGTTGTTCCATGCTCCTCAAAACCTCCTGATCAGAAGCTTTGCTGCTGGACGTAGTTTAACGTCTTACCCAGGACATTTGGTTGCCTAAAGCGGTATTTAAATGAGCAACAATAGGGGGGGGGTTAAAGCTTTTATTTCACTATGAGCTATGCAAGTTAAAATAAAAACATCATCCAATGTTGTTTTCTTTTACTATTAACCTTATCTTTATTTTATGCATCAAATATCAGCTAGTTAATTCATCATGTAGCAGAGAATCATTTTTAATTTTACTCAAAAACAAAAATATCTTTAAAAATCCCTATTGAATTCAAAGGTAAAATTGTGATATTTAAGACTGTTTTAAGATATTATCTTAAAATAAACTTTCTAAATACCTTAAAACATAAAGTGACTATGAAAATGACTGAAAAATATAAAAGAAAAGGAAACTCAAAACATTTTAATATGCAAGGACAAGCTAAGCGTCACCAAAACTCGGAATGGTTACCTTATTGATCTTTCTAAAAAACGTTTACATATTCATATCATTACACAAGCCTGGATTTTTATTTATCATGTAAAATTGCCCAATAAATATTGTTTGCATATTTGTTTCACAAGATTCAAACAAGAAGCCTTTTTGTGATTAGTAATAACTGCTTTTAATAAATTAATCTTTTTTAAAGAGCCCCACAATTTCATGCACTGGAAAATTTATATATATATATATATATATATATATATATATATATATATATATATATATACATACACAGATAGAGATTACATTATAGAAGTGTGTTGGAAAAGGATGTTATAGAAATGCATTAAACAGGATTTACAAAAACTTGGTTTACCAAAATGTAATTATTCCATATTGATAAGGTTTATTTTAGAATCTTGTCAGAAAGATTAATACCATGGACTGAATATACAAGCAATGAAGAATTTTGATGGAAAAGAGAAACTAAAAGAACACTTACAATCAGTTGAAATTTCTGGAATAAACAATGAGGAAAGAAAGCCTAGAGAACTTAACACTCACAAAACATACTAAAGAAGAGAGAAACAGTAAGTAACCTATCTTATGAGATTGTGTCAATGAATGTAAACAGGCACAAAGAGGAATAATAGAAAGTCAAAAATTATTTAGAGCAACAAAAGACAGGAAGACGTGGAGAGCTATGGCCTGTCACATCCTGTAGGGATATGGTATATTAAAGAATTCATAAATGAATATGTAAACAATATCTATTGAGCAATTTTATATTCAAAATGAAAACCTGAAGAGGTGTGAAAAGATATTTTATGAAAAACTAGTTTGGCCATCTTCGTTTATAATAAAATCATTTCCTGATAAATTTCTACAGTGAAATGCTTTGTTTCAACTGTAAGAATCCTTCCACTTCATTCTTCTAAGAATTGATTTTCTCATTCATTTATGTAATTCACTTTAAATACTTTTCTGTAGCAAATATCTTCATTTATTTCTATAACAAAAATCAGTAAAATATAAAATCATTTTTCACAGCAACACTGTATCTTTTGAAGAATTTAAAAAAGAAAAGAAAAAAAAATTAAGAAAATAACAAGTAATCCCAAAATTGAAAATAACTCCATGCAATTATTTCATTATTTTGCGTTAGTGAAATATTTACGGATGAGTTAGCAACAGACAATGCAGCAGTCACTTAGCAAATAGCCAAGGCCACCTGGTACCAAAAGGTTCCAACTCACCTGGTTCTTCACTTGCATGTCATGTAACATATTGCCTATTCGGCTCTCAAGCTCATGTGGAGCCATCTGCAGACATTCCTTCATTAAAGACACTTTCATCTCGTTTACTTCTTCTCTGTGCTTACTTTCCATCTCGGAGCGTATCTTTTGAAGGCTCTTGATGAACGAGCGGTCAGTCTCCGCCTTCAGTGATTCCACCTGGAAGGAAATGCAAGCCAAAGGCACACTATAAAATATTTGGCCTTGAAGCCTCCTCAACATGCTTGGACAATACAGACCATTCTAATAGCCATATGACTTATGCTGTGCTTTTCCCACTTTATTTTTTTTTAAAAACTACAGCATAAGGCAATGTCAACTGGAAAAGTGTTAGTCTGTCAATCAGGCACAAATATTAGCAATACTAGTCCCTAAATTACAATGTGATTATTTCTAACCAGCTTGTCCTAAAGTCAGTTCTAAGCTAAGAACTTAAAAAAATAGTTTATTCTTGAAGATCAAAAATCAAAGAGCAATAAAATATATAAGTTTAATAACAAATGAAATATGAAAATGCAGTTTACAAAAATAAATAATAACATAAGAAGAGTAAAAAGTAGAAAGAAAGAGAGTAGAAAGAAAGAGAGTAGAAAGAAAGAGAGTAGAAAGAAAGAGAGTAGAAAGAAAGAGAGTAGAAAGAAAGAGAGTAGAAAGAAAGAGAGTAGAAAGAAAGAGAGTAGAAAGAAAGAGAGTAGAAAGAAAAGAGAGAAAGAAAGAGAAAGAAAGAAAGAGAAGAAAGAAAAGAGTAGAAAGAAAAGTAAAAAGAAAGAGTAAAAAGAAAAGAGAGTAGAAAGAAAAGAGAAAAAAGAAAAGAGATGAAAAAGAAAGAGATGAAAAGAAAGAGATGAAAAAGAAAGAGATGAAAAAGAAAAGAGATGAAAAAAAGAGTAAAAAAGAAAGAGATGAAAAGTAAAAAGAGAAGAGATGAAAAGAAGAGATGAAAAAGAAAGAGATGAAAAAGAAAGAGATGAAAAAGAAAGAGATGAAAAAGAAAGAGAGATGAAAAAGAAAGAGAGATGAAAAAGAAAGAGAGATGAAAAAGAAAGAGAGATGAAAAAGAAAGAGAGATGAAAAAGAAAGAGAGATGAAAAAGAAAGAGAGATGAAAAAGAAAGAGAGATGAAAAAGAAAGAAAGATAAAAGAAAGAAAGATAAAAATAAAAAAAAAATCTAAATTTACTTTGATGATGAAGACTTTTCAAAATACAGAAATTCTCTCTTCATTGGACACCAAATATTTTTATCAAAATTTTCTTTGATCATTCTTCTGACGAATGATTATTTTGATAAAATTAACGTCATAATTTTGGAGTGTTTTTATTAACACGTCATCTTGTGTGGTGATACCAGCTGAGGAACGAGGCTTTAAATGCTTCCAGACAGTAAAAGTATAAAAACCAACTATAGTCTTATTTACAGGATATTGCTATGAAACAGCTGTTGGCCGGAGAATGAGTGTGCATGTGTGTGCTTGGGGGGCTGGCAGTAATTAAGGCTGGGAATTCCCAGCATGTGTGCAAAGCAACTGTGCACCCATGCCATACAATCTATCTACCAATATAACATCCGTCATACACATATACTTGTTCTTCTCACAAGAGACCTAAGCATGTGTTTTTTTTTTTATGCATCAACTTGAGGATTATTTGTTTAATTAAAACCTATTCCCACAGATATTACCAGACTGGGAGAGTCACTTTCAAAAAAAAAAAAAAAAAAAAATTTTAAATAAAGTGATTTGTAAGGAAACAGGAGGAACTGCCATCATCAAAGTTAAAAGGATAGATCATGTACTAATAAAATACAAACTGCCTTGGAGCATTTTCTTCAATGTCAAATGTACATAGCTATATAAATTAGGAAAATGATCAGCTGTCAATATTTTTTTTTAACAAAATAAAGAATGCTACATTGATCAAACAAACTGGTAATGAAATAGCACTAAGTATGGTGAATAAGGTTCATGAGGAAGAATTTCCTAGTCTGATTTTTATGGCTTTTGTGTTGACAAGAAGGTATGGTGGAATAATGGATAGCAACTTGCATTGCTAAATTTTTGGAGAGCCAAATTCGAATTCCAGTTGAATCCATTATATTTACTTATGTGCTAATACCTGTGGAAAGGTATTAATCCCCCACCACCCCAGCTATGGGTAAATAGCAGGACAGAACGGATTCTATAGGGATGGATGGCAACTGGTCTACCATAGAAAGAAATGGCAACCTACTGCAGGGGGAAAAAATCTACCTCGTCAGTCATGTATCAAAAGATACATGATCACCTAAGCATGTATCACACATGGCACATAACTGACATGGCTATATAAATTAGGAGAATGATCAGCTATCAACATTTTTTTTTTAACAAAATAAAGAAGGCTACATTGATCAAAGAACTGATAATGAAATGACACTAAGTTTGGTGAATAAAGTGCATGAGGAATAATTTCCTTGTCTGACTTTTACAGTTTTTGTGTTGGTAACACAAAGAGTGAACAAGAATGACTTTCTGGCTTTCATGTTTTGTAACTGTCTTCTTCCCCCACACACACACACACATTGCAGCAGGCAAACTTTAAAGATGATGATTGTCACACAGCATTAACAATCTCACCAAGCATCAGCAAGTCATAATAGATTATGCTTTTTAAATCTCGCTAAATCCGGAGCAATAAATTAAACCCCCACCCCCAAAAGGTAAAGATTTGTTGTTAATAATACAGGTACCAGATTCCTCCACAATGTTCAATGCTTCAGATTAATGTACCAAATCCACATTCTATCTACCATTTCAATCTTTCACATAAAAAATGTTTTTCTATCTCTGGTAAGAAGTGAAAGACAGGCAGGGGAGACACTGTAAGGCTTCACCCTGAGAATTCCTGTGGAACCTACTTTCAAGATTTCTAAATTTTCCCCATAGTTTGCAAAGATTGTTGAGTGATTGATACCAAATTTTTCAGCCAATCCTGTTGTTGACGGAGTCAGAGCCATCATCCAAAAGAGCTTGCAAATCAAATTTATATGGCTTGACTAATACTTAATCTGCCATCCAGGTCAAATCCGCCTTTCTTAAACTTAGCAAAATATTCACTATAATGTACTGCTTTCAACCAAACTACCATTATGGGTCTTTATCAATCATCTTTACTCCTGCTGCTGTTTTGCCCAACTTGAAATGGGATCAAGTGTCAGTATTGCACATTCCAAGCTTACTTTTATTTTTATTTTTTTGCAAAGCAAGACAAATAAACACTAATCTTCAAAATGTCAATCACTATCTACTGACCTCTTGATTACTCTTTTTGTTCTTATTCATTAGTAATGTTTCTGTTTCTAATTCTTCCCTTATCCAGGAACTACTTAGGTCTTAGTGGCTTTATTGCCTTGCATTGGATGAACTCAAAAAATTTATTGTCTTGCATGGGGTGAACTAAAAAAAAAAAAAAATTGAAAATAGTCCAAACTGGTTTACAACAATGTATTATTGAACTTAGATTTTAAATAAGGTCAACTTACATTATACAATTGGTAATGTTTAACAGACATAGCTGCAAAAAAAACAGGGTCTGTCAAAAGGACAAATTTTTTCTTGATACTTTTATTACTATATCCTCCCTCAGCAATGTTTACTGTTTTAAAAAGCTATGTTTAGAATGTTAATAAACAGAAAGAATATTACACACTATTTAGTTGTTAGATAGTTTATACATAAAACAAAAGATAAATTTGGAAGTGGTAGCATATTAGTATGGAGGGTGTTCTGACTCTGGTGCTGACCCACTCATTCAGTTACATGCCAAACTGTTGCAGTGTATAAGAATATTATTGTTTTTCTTTCTCAAAGAACTCCTGTCTCTGAGTACATCTTTATATAATAGAAAGTCCCTTGTCAGATTGCAAAAACAGTAAAATAATTCATCAAAACTGAAAAGCTTGAGGTTATGGCATGGAGCTATTCAAAATCCTAATCTCAGACAAAGTCATCCAGTTCCCTCATGGTGAATGAATTATAATGTGGCCGATTAAACCAACATGGGAACGGCACACTTTTCTGTAAGCAGAGTGTTTGAAGAGTTCTTAGATGTATTTCTGGGCATTATATCTTCAATGGAGTTCCCCTGCCTTGCACAAACAACCTTGCTTTTATGGTTTGAACAGCATCCATGCAGACTGACAACTGGCTTGATCACCAACCAGCTTATGTAATTGCTGACAGGAGATATTACTGGTCATTAGGATGGCCCTGTATCACTTTTGTCTGACTACTATTCACTAAAGAAAACACATTGTGGGAGCTGATCCTGATTTGTGTATATTTTTGAGTATTGATAAAATAGCTCAACATGAACAAATTGTAATGCATTTTCATGATTTTGACCTGATGTATTTAAAATAAAAATAATCTTGAGTAATTCCGAGTTCAATGTCCTTGGTTTAATTTCTTTGTTCGATAAAAAATTTTGTAGACCATCAAAAAAAAAAAAAAAAAAAAAAAAAAAAATTTTTAAGGTTCATAGTCTCTAAACTATTTGCAACAAAGGTAGAAGGGAGCCAAAAATAGTTTATTTAAATAGAAAATTATAAGGGCACTAAATTTCAGCTTCATCTTTTCTTAAGCATCAAATTTATAAGGTGCCAAAATTGACAAAACCATGATTACTGCATGCCAAGCTGTTTTGAAAAGCATGTTTTAATCCAACACAGAATTTAGTCTAGAAAATGTGATAAAAAAATCAAAATTTTCTTAAACTATCTAATTGGTTTATACTATTTACATGGTTTGAACTGTTGTCCTCATCTCTGTTGCCATATTCACAACATTTCAGCCATTGTATGCTCCTGGCTTCTTCAGGTGATTGGAATTTCAAACTGAAACTTATTTCATCTATGCCTCTTCGAGATGGTTCAGTTATCTCCCTTTTAACTCAATTCTCCAAGTTTTTGTTCACCACTGCAGTAACCAGGTACTGAACTCACAACACTTTGGGTCAAGTCAACTGGATCCAACCATGCTAGAAGAGGCATGGCACATGGAACAAAAACAATCTACCCTGGTGGACAAAATAAAGGGTTCAGTTCGAAATTCCAATCACCTGAAGGACAGAGTGCACAATGGCCAAAATGTTGTGAATATGACAAAGATGAGAACAACAGTCCGAACAATGTAAATAATTACAATATGTCATCTCAGAAATATAGAAAGCTACCTAATTGGTTTATTGATGTCATGAAAATAGGCAATTTTAATAATGAGTTAAAAAAAAAAAAAAAAAAAGAAAAAAAAAAAAAGAAAAGCCATCTTAAAATAGTAATACTGACATTCCTATAACAGGAATGAATATGGTTCCTGCCTAAAAATAATCTATTACGTCAAAAATGACAAGAAAACTAATTTGGATGCTGTATCTGACATATTTTGTAAATGAGAAGCTCTCAAAATCAAGTGTCTTTTCGCATTTCATACCCTTATAAAAATAAAACTACACCTAAGCTGTTTATATTTTTGTAATGTACACGGAATATTAACTATTGTCACAATGTTTAAAATATTTACATGCAATATCCTAGGTTTAAATGTCATAAGTTCATTAAAGCCTTACTTAGGAAAACGCAAAAAAATGAAGTGAAAGTTGAAGAATGATAAACAAACACACTTTGCTTAACCAGAAGTTCTGTGGCTGAATGGTTATAACATGCCAGGCTTAATTATATATGTGTGTGTGTGTGTTTGTATGTATGTGTGTGATACTATGGACACCCAAAAAAAGGGAAGAGGCGATTTTATCTCAATCTCAAGTGTTTCTGTTTGATAAACAAGTAGATAGAAGACTGAAATTCAAAAGGAACTAAGCAGATGATTCTGGAGGATAAAAAATAAAGGGATTTTCAGTGATCAAATGGCAACAAAGCCAGAAATAGGCTATATCCAGTTGCTGGTCGATATTAACAGTCATGCTTGGGATCTATGAGTGCTCCAGTCTGCCTTTGGCAAGAGATGGAGGTGTCCATGTTGTGGTTCCAAGACCTCCAATTTCATATTGCAAGCCACCATATTAGAATGAGTAGATTGGTGAGCAGTGGGGAAGAGCTGACATAGCAAAAATAGTCCCAAGTATCACCTACCTATACACAATATAGGAAAGAGAGGTCATATTCTTATTTCTTGACATGGCATTTCTTTCATCCTTGTGAGCATACAGCAGTCTTCCCTAGATTTGATGAACATGTACCAGATTGAGGATTGAAATGCAACTTAGGGTGAACATTAGCCAGTTGGTGGAAACCTTGGGAAAGAGTCACATTGTATGTTTCTATCTCTCTCTCTATATATATATATATATATATATATATATATATATATAACATGGATAGCAATAAAAAAAACATTAAAATCATACTGAATCTCACCCAAACTGCAAAACTAGACTCCTTATTTACTCAGTTACAACAGGCAAGTTAAAATCTGCATTCTAAACACTTCTTGGCTATGGATTATTATTTTTTTTTTTTTAAGTGTTCAATACAAGGTCCAAGAGCCACTCAAGGTAGAGGTTTACTGTATGGACTGATATTAGTGTAGGAAAAAACAAGCATTAGGAGTATAGAGATTAAGACTTTAGAAGGAACCGAAAAACCAATTCTAAATGTTAAACAAGTGGCAAACCTCTACTGTTCAAAAGACTGGGAAGGTGTGTGAATTGGACAATTGGTGAACTTATCTACTCCTATTATATTTATATTATTAATTCATGTACACAATTCAGAAAAAGGAGTCACTTAAATTCTGACTTCACATTTGGACAAATTAATTCAAAGTATCTTCAATAAGCAAATAGATATTTTGATGTAGGGTTTTTATTAGCAAGCTCTTCACTTTGTAACAAATTAAACTAAGCTAAATAAATGAAGTTCTTTCTTATTAACTAAGGTCATTATTACTGTAGTGAGTACCTCACAACTGTGACCTTGTGCCAGACTAAGTTTAATTATTTAGAAACAAATACTTTTCAATATTTGTTTCATTGTCTCAAAATCATTTCTAACAATTTTATTGATTTCTAAAAGTGTCAACTGTTAATTGCTTCATGAAAACAAATTTACACACAGAAATCTATATAAAGATGAAACATGTGAAAACCTTTAAATATTCCATCTTTACACACTTTGCCAGGTATGTCACATCAATCATTTATTACATGAATCTATCTGTTGGGTATGCATCCTGGTGCAGTAGTAAATGCCATACTTTTATAGATCTTTTCTAAAGAGTCCAATTCCATGATTGCTGTTTTGTTATGAATATACTTTGAGAAAAAAAATACTTAAAAAACAGAAAAACATTAAAATTTCTCTTTCAAATATTATACTTGTAAGTAATATTTGCATTAATTCCTTATCACTGAAAATCTTTCTCCCAGATCTTTTCTGGAACTACTATAGTAAAATCATCAGCAAGGTATTTATATTATGTGTAAAAACTTCTCTCAGAATGCTTGCATTAATTTATGATCATTGAAAATCACTTTCTTTCTGACATTCAAACTTCCAGATTTTAAACGGAGCATATGCAAATTAAAAGATAATCTTCAATTTTTAAACAGAAAAATGAAATTGCAAAATTTTGGGAGTCAAATCATCAAATTCCGCTAAAATGTGAATATTATCATGGTTACTTTCATTCATTCATGTTCCATTTACTTCTTGCAATAAGGCCAACTCTTTCAATCAATATGTTGATGTTTCACACCACTTCAAACAAAAGGTTAGGAAGGAAACCCCCATTAATACTGGAAAGAGCAATAATAGCTACTGGACTTCAGAAACTTACTTGTAAAACCACTATTGATTGGTTATTGTCATATTTATTATTTATCAGCTTCACTGATTGTGAAGCATGCAGTACACTCTTCCCTTGCTTTTGATGAACATAGACCAGATTGAGGAATGAAGTGCAACTTGGGGTGATTACTGGCCAGTCGATGGAAATCTTGGGAAAGAGTCACTATATATATATATATATATTGTGTGTGTATGTATATATGTCTTCTGCATGCAGAGATGACCATGACTTCTAATCACTGGGGGGTGCAAAAATGACTAAAGAGCCTGATCTTTGCCCTGAAAAGTCTGTTGCAGTTGTGATATGGGATGTTGGGAGCTAAACCAGGCTGGAAGGCAGAGCCCTCTCGATCTTTCCTTTTTTGGCATCTGTTCCTGATTCTTTTCTCTTCAAAATCAGACATTCTGGATAAGGGAGCACAAGATGGCACAGTCCTCAGCAGACTCTTCCTCCATATCTGAGAAGGAAGCCTTCAAACACAGCTGGAAAAGTTGTTTAGCCTGAACTAAGCTGCATGAATGACTTAGCGGGTGGGTCGACACCATCCAGGCCTATGCAGAGAGGAAGGAAATGAGGAACTTCTACAGTACTTTCAAGGCCATTTATGGTCCCACTTTGTCTGGGTCCTTCCCAGTGCAGATGGGAACACATTGATCTCAGACAAAAAGAATATCCTTGAGTGCTGGGCAGAACACTTCAACAGTGTACTCAATTGACCATCAACAAAGAAGCCATTGCAAGACTACAACAAGTCCCAGTCAACAACACACTGGCACATTCACCACCTAGAAAAGAAGTTACTAAAGTCATTAAGCAACAAGGCACCTGGTGTCAACTCCATCCTTAGGCTTCTTGTGGCCAAAACTGAATGAAAGCCTCACAGGCCTGTTCAGTTCCATGTGGACCCCCAAGAAAAGCTACAACAGGAACTTAAGGACATTTCCATTATCCACCTCTACAAGTGCAAAAGGAACAAGAACAACCACCATGGCATTTTATTTTGTAAATTCCTACTTCAGGTTTAAGTTTGTTATTTTGTCTTGTGATTAAATCTTGTTCGTTAAATTATAAATTTTATATTGTTTAGATAAATTCTTTTCACGTATAATCATTTTTCAGTTGGTAAACAGCAGCTACCAATAGTGTATATTTAAAAAAAAATGCTATCTAGCTCTCCTTAAAGATTTAATGCAGGAAAAAGCACAAAACATGAGGTAACCTAAAAAAATGCTCTCAAGGGAATGAAAGCAGATCATTTATTTATCATATGCTCATCTTTATTGTTATATTCATGTCATTGTAATCTTCTACCTTCTCTAAGTGTTTTCATATTCTATATCCTTCTAACCACAGGGGAGATTGTTCTCATTCCAATTTCCAGACTATGGGGAGATAACTCATATCAGTTAATACTAATCAGTTTTATTCCCTTTTATGCTGTTTGTTTGTTTGTTTCTTCCACTGAATCACACTATATGACTTTTCAGCAGATCAGACCAAAGGATTGAACTAACAACCAGTTAAGATAATGTTTTGACCAACACTTTCATCCATTAAGCCATCTATTGGTCAAGATATCTTTGATAGTAGTGAATTCAATCTATGAATCTGGTAGTATTGAAAAGTCATATTCCAGTTCAGAAGAAGAATCAAACAGGTAACACACAAAGGTGAATAAGACTGGTGAGTATTAACTTATGAGTTACCTCCCTTAAGTAAGCAGAGCAGAATGAGAATAATTTACTCCAGAGATTTTTCATCTCATGCAAAGCAATAAAGTCATGGTTATAGAGTGTTAGAGAATATGGGAGAAAATAGAACAATTAAATAGAGTGAACAATAAAAGAACAAGAATTAAGACAGCAGTTAATGATTGACATTGCATTTAGATTTTTGAAAATCAAAGTTAAGCCAGAAGAAACCCACAAGCATATGTTCGATAGAATAAACTGATAGCATATAACTTACATTTACATCTCACCATTTCAACAGTCAAATGATGAATCTATGCTGCCAATCTAGTACTACACTTAAATTTTTAAAGTCTAGGTATGATAGAGGAAATTTCATCAGAACAATTACTATGAAATGATTTATAGAAAAGGCACAGGTAAGCTACATTACAGCAGTGCAAAAGTGGCTGAAGTCAAGATGCTAGATCAGGACCAATAAACTTGCAGATTCTTCTTTGAATTTTATTGATTTCTAAATATATAGGAGTACCAGACCAGATGTGGCAGCAGTATTTAAAGCAAGGATATATGGTAGACTTATAAATAAATAAGATAGATTCTGGGGAGAAAAATTATCTAGCACCACATAGGGAAGCAACTTTCCAAGCAGCAGACTTAGTAATTGATTCATTATAATCTCTCCACTTCATGTTAGCAGAAAACGTTAGTCCAAGAAGCAGCAATGAATCACTCTTGGAGGTTAGCATCAGCCATGATGATGGAAGGTAAAATGGGTTCTCTCCAATGATTAAAGCAGTAGTTTTGTTTTGGAGGTATTAAAATTAACATGCCATTCCTTGTCCCAGTTAACAATAGAAAGTAGATCATTTTTTAAATCAACTGCCAATTTGACTTTATCGAACCACTCAGACTAACTAGTAAGTCTAAATGGTTGTGTCCTCAGCATGGTTACCGAACTGAGAACTGATGCCATCAGGAAGGTCATTGATGAAAAGTAGGAACAACGCAGGTCCAAGGATAGAGCCATTAATGCAAAAAGATCTAGAAGAGTTACTATTTAAGGAAAGGAACAGTTCTGTGAGAAAATATTAGATCACTGCAAAAGTTTAATTGCAAATATTTGTTTCTGTTTTTAATTTTCTAATCAGGTACAAATTTTTGCAAAGATCCAATAGCATATCAGGTTCAGATCCCAAAATAAAAAAATCTGGGGTCATAATTACACAGGGTATAAATCAGTCTTACAAGTCCAAGATCAAAAATGTGAGGGTGTAAATCAAAAGGAGTTAAAAATCTGTCTCCAAAACTCACAATGCACAACTACCTTCTTCACCTATGAAGAACAACAAAATACCGTTGTCCTAAGTAGCATTCTTTTATTGGGGTGAGAATGGTTGTGACTGATCAAAACTGGTAGGGAAGTGCAAACAATTACCATATTTCAGGGCCTACTAAATTCAACCATATCTTTATTCTGATTTTCTTTTTTGACGCCAGTCATCACAAGTTCAAAATTCCACGAAGGTACAAAGACAAAAACCTGAAGAAGGCCAGAGTATACAAGAACTGAAATGTTTTAAGTATAACAACCAAGATGATCATACTGGTCTGAATAGCAAAGCATATTAATAATTCCACATTTCAAATGTTCCAACAAAATGTATAAAACATTTGAAACAAAAATCATTTTCTGATTTTTATAAAAATTTGCCAGGGGGAATAAAATAAAACTGCAAACCTTCAAAAGGTTTTTAATTGAAGTTATTGTTTGAAATATGTGCTTGGGAAAAATCAATCATTCATCCTTAGAATACTGTCACAAACACAAATAAAGCCAAGAAGGGAAAAGTTCCTAACACTATTGTTACAATTTGCAAAAAGGTTCTGATTGATTTGTTTGTTTTCTATTTGAAAAAATGTTAATCAACAGGTTATTTAAAGCCAGAAAATATTTTTAGATTTTTTTTTTAGATAATACTGGTTTAGTGATACAAGTCCTACTAATTAACCCATAGCTGGGGGAAGAAGAGATAGCTTCATACCTTTCACAAGGGAATGTGCACATGAATATAATGAACCCAAGAGGAACTGGAACTCAGATTTCCAATTAACAATTCTGAGTCATTATCCATTACACCACCCATGCATCCAAGCTTATAGCACATAAGTATTCCTAAGTGGTCACCCATCTAAGTACTGACCAGGCACGACATTGCTTATCTTCAGTGATTGTATGGAAACCAATATTTCAATGGGATATGGCCTTAAGCCTGAAATGTATTGTAAATGAGATGGTTATGTGCACGGATGTTATAGTGTGACAATATATATTTTATATTGTTTACTGCATGTGACATAGATGAAAATATCAAATGAACATAACTGTCAACTTTTACTGTATTTTTTAGGGTGATAATAATAGTTCAGTGATACAAGTCTTACTAATTAATCCATAGCTAGGGACAGAAGAGGTGGATTCATACCTTTCCCAAGAGTATTTGCACGTAAATGAATATAACAAACCCAACTGGAATTGGAACTTGGCTCAGAGTCATTATCCATCACACCACTGGCATATCCAAGCTTACAGTACCTGGTATTGTTAAATAATAGTTTAGCAGACTATTATTTTCTAGAGGAGGTGTATCACTGCTTGGACTTCCTGAGGTTGACCTTCAAGGTCAAATGGAAGACAAAACAAGAAAGTCGATTTTGATTGGCTGAGCCAGCATGGGAATGATAGATATATAGAAAGGTTTTTCAGGAAGTTGTTTCATGAACCATCAAGCAATGTAGAGGTTTTCTCTTTTGTGTCTGAAACGGCTCTCCAATGGAGGGAGAGCGACCCCACTGGAGAGTTAGAAATATATACATTGACATGATTAATCAAGTAGTTAAGTTAAAAGTGATCTTTTATCTCTAGATTCAAAACAACTAACCATCACTGACCATGAAGTCAACTTTATTATTGAATCAAGACCGCCAACCAAGACTAACTCCACCAGGGGTCTATGCAAAAGTAATCCCAAGCAGTCACCCCTCTATCATTGTGTAACTTCAGTGATTATACAGTAACCAGTGTTTCAATGTTATGTGGCCGTGAGCACAAAAAAGGTTCTGTTTATATTAAAATATATAAAAGTGCAATGTTTATCATGTGAAATATGAAATTTAAGAAAAAAAAAAAAAAAATACATTATTAGAAAATTCAAAACAGATCCAATATACTAATCAAAATACAGTCAAATATTCTTAAGAGCTGAAGGGGAAGGGAGAAAATTTTTCAGTCTATCCACCTCCAAAGCTTATTAAGACCAACCCGTTTATTAATTTTGCACTATTCCCCAGAATTCAAACAAGAAATAATTATTATAGTTGGTTCAAGTCTTTACTGACACATTTGAATATTAAGGAAAAAATTTCAATTCTCTGATTGCAATTAAGATTCCTTTCTCCCAAAACTTAGAAACCTACAATTATTGAAATAGCATCAGTAAAAAAAAAAGGAAAATATTACTCTGATCCTAAAGCTTACCTTTAAGGTGTACTTCTGTTCAAGGTCGCGTTCATAATTATCTTTCTCATCTGCTAATTCTTGCAGGATATCCAAGCGAGCATACTTCAAATCTCTCTCATACTTTTCAGTCAATGCATCCAACTCAAACTCCTGTTTCTTTGCTAAATCGGTTTCAATTTCTTCAATCTTCTGTAACAGTTCTTCTTTGGTATATAACGGTTTGTCATTCTGTTCTGACTGGCCACCATCACAAGCACTGGTCAGAAGTGATGCTGTTTCTTTAGAAACAAGGCTGCTGTTCATACTATCTAAATTCTTTTCTTGTTCAACATCAGAAACCTTTTCCGCTTCAAGCAACTTCTCATTTAATTCTGTTATAGAGTCTTTGAGTTTGGCATTTTCTTCTGAGAGAACCTTTTCTGTCTCCAGAGATTTTTGCTCCAGTTCTTTAAGAGAGTCTTGGAGTTTGGCATTTTCTTCTGAGAGAACCTTTTCTGTCTCCAGAGATTTTCGCTCCAGTTCTTTAAGAGAGTCTTGGAGTTTGGATTTTTCTTCTGAAAGTGCTTTCTCTGTGTTGGCCAATTTCTGCTTCAGTTCTTTTAAAGAATTTTGGAGTTTGGAGTTTTCCTCTGACAGAGATTTCTCTTTTGATTTCTGTTTCAATTCTTTAATAGTATTTTGAAGTTTACTATTTTTGTCTGACAAGCTTTTCTCTTTGGAGTGAGATTTCTTTTCCAATTCTTTTAAAGAGTTATTTAGTTTGGATTTTTCTTCTGACAGTTTTGTGTTTGCTTCTTTGAGTTTTTTCACTTCTTCTAAGTATTCATCTTGGCTGATTGACATTGCTTCTACTTTGCTATATAGTTCCGATTTCTCAACCTGCCAGAGTTCTTTGAGCTTTTCGAGTTCTTCATTAGCCTGCTTTAACTCTGAGGATTTAGATTCCATTAATGCTGTGAGTTGACCTCCTTGCTCCTCTTTTTGTTGTGACAAGGCTAAAAGTTCCTCAACTTTTGCCTTTTGCTGCTGTTTCTCTTTGGTCATCTTTTCAATCTGCTTTTTGAAACCAGCCTTTACCGAAGACTGTTCTGATTTCAAGCGCTGGACTTTCTGTTCCCATTCGCAGATCTGTTTCTCAGCATCTTGCAGTTTGTTTTCAACTTCTTTCAATTTTTGCACAGACTCTTCTTTGTGTGTTTTTAACAGAACTTTAAGCGCCGACAATTCAGCATCCATTTTGCTAACCTCCTGGTCACGTTCCCCATCCAGTTGATCACATCGATCCTCCAGACACTTCTTTTCATCAACCAACTTCTCAAGTTTTAAAGAAAGAGCATCATTCTGGTGTACAAGTTTCTCTTTCTCCAATCGATAATGATTCTCCATCTCAGAAATCAACTTCTGGCTTTCAGTTAGCTCTTCCTGCAAATTAACATTCTCACTGTCTAGTCTATTTTTCTCTGACTGCATCTGGTCAAGTTCCGATTTCTCTTTTTGAAACTGATTTTCCATAGAAGAACATTTGGATTTCAAGTGGTTAATTTCACAAAGAATAACATCGTTTTCACTCTTGACAGTAAAAATTTCATCGACTTGATCTTGACACCGGGAGTTCAGCATTGCAACATTCTCTTGCAGTTTCTGAATTTCATCCTCCTTTTCTTGTAGTGCTAACGAGGATGATTCCTTCATATTTCTGACACTCAACAATTCTTCCTTTAATATCTTTACTTCTTCAGCCTCGTCCTCCACTAACCTCTGTAGAGACTCAATCAGATCCTTCTGCGATTTCAATTCTTGATTATTTTGCTCCTCGACTTCTTCCTTCTTTGCAATTTGTTCATTAAGCTCAGAGATGACCTGACGTTGATTTTCATTCTCCTTTTCAAAGTTTCTGGTGAAAGAGTCCATCTCAGTCTTAAGTCGTTCAATCTCCTCTTCTCGGCTGATCAGAAGCTGGTCAAGCTCTTTGAAATGCTCACGCTCAGCTTCGCCCATTTGTAGTATGTCAACTTGAGCCTGGAGACGCTCCAATTCTGATTCATTCTTCCTTGCATTGGTCACTGTCTCTTGTAATTGGTTAGTCATTGTTTGGTTTTCAGATTGCAAAGCCTCAATCATTTGTTTGCTTTGTTCAATTGTCTGTTGATAAATGATGATCTCATTGGACTTTTCCTTTATCCTTTTTTCAATGTCTTCTTTCTCCTGAATGCAAGCATTCATCAAAGAGTTATTCTCTAACTCTAATTGGTCAATCCTCTCTTTGTGCTTGCCAAATGCTGAAGAAACCTCACTAACAATTCCCCCAAACTTCTCGGGGTTATCATCTGCTGATAACTGATAAGCAATGTCCCCTTGTTGAGCAGAATTACTGACTGATAAAAGAGACTGAAGATGGCAAAAATACTGCACCAAGCAAAGAGTTTTCTTTGTGTATGCATTATTCTCTTCGGACAGTTTTTCATTATTCATTTCAGCTGATTTGGCTGCATGGGTGAGGGATATGATCTGTTGGTCAAGTTCCAAAAGACGATTTTCTTGATCCAGGGCTTTTTTCATCTGTTCTGAATTTTCTGCTTCCAGTTGATCTGAAAATAACCAGAGAACACTGTAAGTGCTACTTGCTGTGATCAAAGTACATCATTTTATTTCTTACTAGCAGTAGAGCCCGGCGTTGCCCGGGGATGTAACAGTAAGAGATAGATCAAGTATCAACCATCATAAAGACTGAAAAATAAAATTGACAAAGATTATTGTTTAAGGTTGATGGACATGCATGTCTTAATTAGTTTTTTTTTTGTTTTTTTTTTATATGAATTGGTCAAACCCAAACGAAAACATTGTTTTCAATCGTTATGAGTGCCTACCGATTAAATAGAATTTTATTATAAACAATTGTCTTGTAAATGGAATTTTTAAAGCATTCTGAATGTAAAAATAAAGAAAAAAAGTGTGCAAGACAATAAGAAACACTACCTGTAAAAAAGGGGGGAGAGTTTTGTTGAAATCAGTTGAAAAATGTAGGAAATCCGATCCCATATATAAACGAACACACACACAAACAACCTGGGTTTTTATAATAAGTACAACTCGATATGAGTTGTCCCCTTTTCATTCTCACAACAGCGATGCCTCTTAATCGTGCAAAAACAATTGTGTTTTTCAATTTTTGGCGCTGTCAGAACCACCGCAAGGTAATTTTACGTATTCCCGTGAAGTTTTGTTGAAATTGGTTGAAAAATGAAGGAAATCCGATCCAATATATAAACGTACAGACACACACACACACACATCCTGGGTTTTATAAGTATGATTACTATAAATGTTATTTTTAGTGGGTATACAGGTCTGAGTTGCTATCTCTGATTTTCTTTTAAACAGAGAAATTAATATCAACTGGCCAAGATCAAAAAGTCCTACTAAAAGATAAATGTGACTCCTAACAGGAATCAAACCTGTATCCTTTTTCTCATTAAAGAAACCAATCCTACAGTTACCAATTTGGCCACAGGAAAAATTGTTTTCATAAAACAAAGCTCAATTACTCATTTAAAGAATGTACATGTGTCATTTTCTTTAACTAAAGAAAAAGAAAAAGTGGATAGTCGTGAACATTTATTTCCAGCAGCACTAGACCAGATGTAACAATAATATTCAATGCATGGATGAATGGTAGACCTATCAATGTGTATGATAAATTCTGGCTAGAAAAATTGTCTCACACGACAGAGTGAACCAACTTTCCTGGAGGTAGTCTTAGCAATTCATTTTATTTTTTTTATATTAATGGGTAGATGAATAAAAAAAATGCTATTTTTTTTTTATATATAGTAAAAGCTCTTATATACATAAGGGTGTGTGTGTATATACACATATATATATATATATATATATATATATATATATATATATATATATATATATATATATGAGTTCTCTGAGCTGCTGGTGTATTTTGTAAAGAATACTAAGTTAAAATTCTCTTCCTTTCTGCCATGCAATGATGGCCCTAGAGTAAGATATCTGACTGATGTCAAATCAGTCAGGTTTCAATCCTGGCTTAAAGCAGGCGGACGTCTAGCCACACTAAGGAGCTGTGATACAGCAGAAACTGTGTGTAGATGATTGTGTGTGTGTGGTGTATTTTGGAAGCAATAATTCTCTCAAACATGTTTGTTTAAATCATATGGGGATGTTCTGTCTATCAATTTTTTATTTTGTGTTATCAGTAAATTTGCCAAAGTTCATATTTATTTATTTTATATTATCACCCTTTATTTTACCCCAAGACAATTGCTTTTTGAAAAATGTTTTGTTTACATTCATTTTCAAATATTGTTCTGTGAATATGCAACTGTTTTTTTTAATTCCAGCATTCTCATATCTGATGGAACCAATTTCAAGTCACTCAAGATGACGTCATATAAACGGTCAAACAGAAATTATTATGTGTGGGTCTGTGTGTTTTCTATTAAACCCACTTTAATATAAACAAATTGATAAATAGAAATTGTCCATATAATTTAACAAAACATGTTTGTGAGAATTTTTTCTGCCAAAAAACAACATTGTATATTTTTTTTCTTTTAAGCACACAATATATATATATATATATATATATATATATATATATTTTCAATGAATATTTTTAACCATTTCTAAGAATCCGATGCCATTTTTATGTTAGTAAGGACAAAAAAAAAAAGGAATATAAAATTTTTTTAGAATAGGTTAAATACAACAAATTTGACAGATGAATTAAGCAAAATAGGAAAAGACAAAATTATTTGTACAGTAGAAAATATTGTTTTAAATTGATTCATGTAAGTATAAGTAATTTACAATTATTTTATCAGTGAAACCTTCTAAAGTATTTCTTCATTAGAATATTTGTGATTTCAGCAAAGAACATTACATGGTGCATAGAGTATCACCATTTTTATTCTTATGTTAACAATATGACAGGGAAGACAAAGGATCTAAGTATTGACTTGAGACAGAATTAACTTACACAAGTCAGAAAATAGTTACAGCACTATTTCAAACCAGTTAGCTATCCCTAGATCTATGGTACAGTCGGTTATAAAAAAAATTTTAAGCAGTTTTGTGCAACAGAGAAGTTGCCTAGTCAGGGAAGAAAACCAAAACTGCCTCCGAGAACTGCACAAGAACTGTATTGCAAGGTTAATATAAACCTAAGAGTTGTTTTGAAAGGCATCACCAAAAGTTAGGATATGATGGATATCAGCCCAAGTACTCACACAATACAACATTATTTACATAGAAATGGATTGTATGGAAATAGACCACAACAAACCCCTCTTCATGAACCATGTAATGTTTCTCAGTTTAATTTTGCCAAAACCTTCTTGGACAAAGATTGCTTTTATGAACAAGTACTATGGAGTGATGAAACAAAAATTGAGCTTTTTTGGATATAATGATGCACAGAAGATTTGGCACAAGAAAAGTGAAGCTTTCATCCCAAAGAACACAGTAGCAACATTAAAACATGGATTGACGATGTTTTGGGTTGTTTTTTTTTTTTTTTAGCTCAAGGGGGACAGGACAATTAATTGCAATAAGAGGAATCATGAAATCTGCAGACTATATCAAAATTCTGGATGAAAATCTGCAACTATCAGCGCAAAATCTTCATCTAGGTCAGCGATTTACATTCCAATAAGATAATGACCCCAAACATACATCTAAATCAGTGACTGCGTGGCTTCAGAAAAAATAAGATTACAGTTCTGCCATGGCCTTCAAAGAGTCCTGATTTGAATCCTATTGAACATCTATGGCAAGAATTGAAAGTTCAAATAAAACATCAGTCACCAACAAAACTTCAGGAATTAGAATGTGTAACCATTGGAGAATGTAAGAAAATCCCAAAAAAGACTTGTTCAAATCTCATCAAAAACCTTAGAAAACAATTGCAGCAAAGATGAGAGGCCATGCAATTGACTATTAATATTGTGAAAATTGTTCAATTTTTTTCTATTTTTCATACTGTACAAATAATTTCGCCTTTTCCTATTTTGCATAATTCGCCTGTCAAATTTGTTGTATTTAACCTATTGTTCTAAAAATTGGAGTTTTATATTCCTTTTTTTTGTCCTTATAAACATAAAAAAACTGGCATCATACAAGCATTAGATTCTGAGAAATAGGTAAAAATATTCAAATTGATGGTTGTATGAATAATTTTGTCATTGACTGTATATATAGATCCCCCCAAAAGTATTGGAATGGTAAGGGCAATTCCTTTGTTTTTGTTGTTCACTGAAGACAGTTGGTTTATGATCAGAAGATGACTATGACACAAAAGTTCAGAATTTTATCTTTTATTTCATGGTTCAGAAGCCACCCATTTTTTTTAAGTGAGCAAAACTATTGGAACACATGACTAACAGATTTTTCTTGTTGCTCAGGTGTTGCCCTTTAGATTGGCTGTTTAACCATTAAATAACTGAATGACTACTCATGGTTTTAGCCCTGGGTTTTACCTGTAAAGACTGCATTTCTTGTTAAAAAGACGAGAAAGCCGTCTATGGGAGAAAAGCAAGCCATTTGAAACTATTGGTGTACTGAGCAACAGACATAGAACAGGTCAGCCAAGGAAAACAACAGCAGTTGATGACAGAAACATTGTGAGTGCTATGAGGAAAAATACCAAAACAACAGTCAGTGATATCACCAATAACCTCCACAGTGTAGGGGTAAAGCTTTCACAATCCACCTTTCAAAGAAGACTTTGATAGCATAAATATAGAGGCTATACTACAAGATGTAAACAACTCATCATTCATCAGCAGTATGAATGGGAAGGCCAAGGAATTACAGAGATGAGTGACAAAAGTTCTGGAAGAAAGTTTTATGGACTGATGAGACCAAAATTAATCTCTAACAAAGTGATGGAAAGGTCAAAATGTGAAGAAAGAAAGGATCTGCTTATGATCCAAAGCATACAAGCTCATCTGTAAAGAATAGTGGAGGTAGTGTCTTGGTTTGGGCTTACATGACTGCTTCTTGAACAGGCTCATTCATATTTATTGATGATGTAACTCATGGCGCTAACAGCAGAATGATTTCAGAAATTTACAGAAACATTATGTCTGCCAATTTACAGAGAAATGCTTCCAAACTTATCAGGAGGAAGTTTAACATGCAGCAGGACAATGATACAAAACATACTGCCAACTACTACAAAGGACTTCATCAGGTGAAGAAAAATTCAGTGTTTTAGACTAGCAAAGTCAATTACCAGACCATAACCCAATAGAACATGCATTTCATCTCCTGAAAAGGAGACTGAAAAAAACCTCTTTAAACAAACAAGAAATGAAAGAGGCTGCATGAAAAAACTAGAAAATCATCAAAAATGAATGCAACAATTTGGTGATGTCAGTGGCAACATTATAATATGCAGGCTTGATGCAGTTCTTACAAGCAAGAATTATGCAGCCAAATATTAAATGTTATTTACTTTAAGACTATCTGTTCCTTTACTTTTGCTCACCTAAAAATGGGGTGATCTTATACAAAATGTGTTATGTTCTAATCTGTTTAACACATCTAAAATGTAAAGACCAGGAAATAGAAGCTGAACTCTTGTCTCATATTCATCTTTTGATCTTAAAACCAAATGTCTTCAGTGATCAATAAAAACAAAGGAATTGACCTTTCCCTTCTAATACTTTTGGAGGGGACTGTATGTATGTATGTATATATATATATATATATATATGAAGCTAGGATAGTAAGGAAAAATTATTCTGGCCCATATAATTAAGCATTACAGCGTTAAAAAAAAAAAAAAAAAAAAAAAACACACAAGAAAACAGTTTGGAGGTCACTGACACTACAAGTGAACAGTAACAAACCCCTGACTTCTAATAACAACCTCTACTCACCAATTTGTTGCCGATAATCTGCAATGACTTCCCTCAGTTTCACCATTTCATTTTCCACTGTTTTCTGATGTTTACTGCTCTCATCTATCACAGATTCAATTTCGCTGTTCAACCTGTTGATCTCTGCCTGGGATGCAGCCAGCTTTTCAGCCAACACTTTTTCATCCACCTTGAGCTGGTCAGCTTCAGTGGCTCTCAAGTCAAGCTGCTCCTTCAACTGTACATTTTCATCCTGACTGCCAGACAATTCCTGCTCCAGTGTCCTCTTCATGTTTTTCAAATTCATCACTTCCTGATAACTCAACTCAAGCTTTTCAGACAGAACCTGAATATCTTCGTCCTTCTTCTGTAAGCTCAGATTAAGCATATCTTTTTCAGATTTCAGCAGAGTGAGCTCATTGTTCAACAAGGTCTCAGTTTCAAGTGCATGACCAGCTTCTTCAGACTGTGTACTGAGCAACTTCTCCAAGTTACTTATTGAAGCAGACAAGCTAGCATTCTCTTCTTTTAGTCCTTGAATAGTGTCCACATAACCCTGAACCGTTTCAGCCACAGAGAACCGAGATGCTTCAGCTGCTTGATACTGCTTCTCAAGTTCATCTTTGGTAGCTAACAGGGCATTGAAATTGGATTTTGATTTGATTATCTCTGTTGAGAGATCTTGGTTTTCTGATTGAAGGTTTTTGAGTTTTAGTTCCAATTCTTGCATCTGTGAAAATAGATGACCACTGTCGTTATCAGATTCAGTTGACATGCTGTTGCCAGCTCTTTCATTCTGCCACGAGTCAACCTGGCACTCAAAGTCTTGGAAAGAGGAAGATTTTAATAAATTTGGTAAATGCTGAGACCAGGTAGAAGAATAGTTTTTGGAAAGGGTATCTATAAGCTCAGTAAGCTGATGTAAAACAACGTTAAATTCTTCTCTGGCGGAATCACTGGTGTCATCTGAATGGTATAGGGATATAAACTTCTGGATTAAATGAAACTGATTTTGGAGCTGAAGATCCAGAGCTTGATTCTTGGATTTTGCACAGTTTAATTCTTGGATCAAGGTGGACTCTTTACCTGATTGGCTCAAGCTGATACTGGAGCTCTCTGCCCACGTCTGGTCTTCAACAGCAATGGATTCATCCTAGAAAGAGTATGAATCAAAATTACAACATTTATATGAAAGAATCTTTTTTAAAAAACACATATGTACACAAGAGGTTAATTCCTCGGCTATAAACTCAATTTAAAGGAAGTTAAAGTAAGAATAAGTCATATTGCCAATCCATCTTGCTAATGAAGCATTGGAGAAGACGAAATATACGGAAGAGCAAAAAACATTATCGATCACCAATATGTGGCACAAATGACAGTGACTGTCTCATAACTCTGCAGCTTAGCATCATATGTCTTTGTTCAGAATGCTAGAATTCCAACCATGAGACCTAGTTTGGAATTTCACCAGATTCAATCAGTCAAGGTTTTTTTTGATGTCATCCTGGAAAGACAGTCCCGAAATGTGCCTAAGAACTACACAAGTTTACCTGAGACTTGTGAGTGAAATAGAGTAGATGAAACAGTTTGGAAGCTGTCGATGGTTGCACTAGTAATATAGTCATGTGTTCTCAACCAATGGATGCTCGTTAGCCTTGGCTGGCAATCTAGTTTGATTTGGCAACTGTGTGTGTGTAAAAGCCATCAACCTGGTTACTCACAGAAATGTATTGACCTGAAAATCACACAACTGAAACTCTTACAGAAAAAAAGTCAATCTGCCACAGTTGGAAACAATTCAAGATATGTCATATTTTATGATACATGTTAGCTATGGGTTACATAGCAAGGTAGACTGGGCTTTCTAGCTTTGAGTGGCAATCAGTCTAAAAGAAAGAAAATACTGAATTTCAAACTATATAGAAGACAACCAGGAACCAATCCATTATCTTTCCCAAGAATGTTTGGCAATTGACAGATAAAAAAGAAAAATATGTGCAGAGTTGTGATCATCTACATCCTGAAAGGATTTTTTTTTTTAAAAGCATTTCACCCCAAGCAAGGCGGGAGTACCACTAGCATGCAAGAAGTTACAGAGAGTGGGAGCAAGAGTAAGGAGGTGTGATAGAGGAAAAGATGAAGAGAAGGACGATGAATAGATCAAGGCATCTGGAAATGTCAATAGACATTGCATTTGAATAGATGGAGATTATAGATATCAGGGAAGCAAGCAAGTGGAAGGAAGTTCCACAGACAGGAAGTGCAAAACATGAGGCTATTGGAGTAGAAGAGACATTTAACAGTTTCAACAGTGAAAGGGTGGGACTGAGATACCAACCTAGTAGCACATTTAAATTCATGCAGTTAACATGGTATTAAAAATAAAATTATGTAGTAATTGGTCACAGTTAAGTGAAATTGGCTAAAATGTTCAACAAATGAAATTATCAAAGTTTCCAATAGACAATAACAAAAGAAAAGAATGATTCAAAATAATACTAAACAAACAATATATAAAAACAACAAGACAAAGAATGATGTTCACATGCAAAAGGGATACAGTCAACTGATTTTAGCATTCTGACTTCAAGAAAAAGAACAAAAATATGGCTGACAAGACCAAGAAGTGGTCCATTTTTATTGGCTAGGAAGAAATCCATCATGCATCTGTAAGATTTGTCTATAAATCTAAAGAGGAGGATGTTTTTTTTAGCAGTCATTCTTTTTTGGATTGGAATCGGCAAAAATAAAAATTCTTACATTGATTATCTAAAAGATAAAAGAGGCTTTTCAACTTTCACTAGGAAGTTTTATTAAATCTTCAATTAAAAAAAAATTGAAATTTAACATTTTAAGATTTTAAGAAATAAAAATGACTATAAATAAATCCTGAATTCAAGTTACTGATATTAAATAATCTTTGTATAAGTTTAGTTGGCATATTTTACTGACTGTAAGCCTAGGCAAAAGGGCGGGGGGCACTCACATGGGCATTGTGCATTAACATCAAGTTTTCATCCTTCAGTTGCTTCTCCAGCTGTTGGTTCTTCTGTCTCTCCTCATCCAAATTCTGTGACAAGGAATCAGACCGTTCCTTTAAGGCATTAAGTTGTTTTAAAAGCTCCTGGTGGTCAATCATCTCCTGTTCGGCAATGGCTGTAGACGATTGCAGTTGGACATAGTCCTCATTAACTTGGGACAATTTCTGGACAAGTTGAGACATCATTTCATCTTTCTGCTGGATAACCAACTGAAGGTTGAGGATTTCGTTTTTGGCGTCTTGTAAGGCTTGCGCTGAAACACAATGCTGTTTCATCTGTCCATTCAACTTCTCTCCAGCCTGTAAAATAAATCCCACACAAAAAAGTAAGATCTTGTAAAATAGTGAACATGTTTAAAATGGTAAAATGTGTTAATTATCATCACATGTAGGATATTTTCATATTATTTCATGTTGTCTTAACATTAATTCATGACACTTTTTTTAAATAATTATTTTCATTATGTCACTTTTTCATATAAAAATATATTTGTTGTATCATAAAAATGTAAACAAAATCAAAAATAAGACTGTTTATTTTCCACTAAATTTGTCAACATTTAACCACAAATAACACAAATTCTGTTGATTTTATGATCATAGTTCTTATATGAAAGAGCTTTCTAAAGATATATTGGGAGATATGAAAATGTTAACATATCATGGCAAATAGAAAAAAAAAAAACACCATTTTGAATTTGGCCCAACTTGGTAAAACCATTGTAACTCAAGCCACAGTCAAAGGCTTACCACAAAATTGTGTACCTATCTTGCCATAAGGCATAAAAATTTGTTATCAAATTAAAAAAAAAAAAAATTTAGATATGCTTTTTGAGAAATTCAAGGTCAAAGGTTACAGTCAAATTATCTTATTTGATCGTCAAACAAAAAAATGAATACTTCATCTTTTAGATCTATTCAAGTACTTTAAAATGGTATATAATTTAGCTTTGTAGGTGAAAAAAAAAAACAACTGAGATATTGATATTTAATCTTTGTGACTTTTCTAAAATTCACTTTTTTGACAAAGGTCAAAGGGTCATATCTTGGGAGCTCCTTTGGCCTAGAGATGTAAAATAGGTACCATTCAATTTGTATCATGAAGCTCTATAAGTGTACCAAATTTGAAAACAGAATGACTGTATTTCATTTTCTTAGTGGTAAATTGGAGGGACTTTTGAATGGCTCTTGGTTTCAGTTAATCTGACCAGTTAAAACCTTGTAATGTCAGAAATTCAAACCTAGACAATTCCAGGTACTAATTCATTTTATTCGAATTATATTCTTTTTATTTCTCCAATAGTCCACACAAAAGGGAAAAAAAAAAAATTGGTGTACTTCTGGTATGCTTGTGAAATGTAAATTTTCTATCAATATTCTAATGCCTCTTCTACAGCCACGAGGGAAAAAAATCACTTATTGCTAAAATCCACACCATTAACTGTTACATTGGTTTTTCAAACAATTTACCCTACTTCACAAATTATAACCACAGCAATTCCTATTCTGACTGGTCACCAGGTGTAGATTCACTTACTTGTAAAATCTACATCAGTAACTATGTCAGATTGAATGTGCCTACATCCTGAAAGGAGTTGGCACATAGAAAAAAAAAAAAAAAACCCCCCCATCATTAAAGAAAAAATAGCAAGAGAAAAACGAAAAAGAGCAAGAAAAAATAAAAATAAAAAAACAAACAAATATACTTGCCTGTTGTAACTGAAGTTGAAGCAATTGGACCTGTTGGGCTAACTTTTGTGTTTCTGCTGAACACACTTGTTGTAAACCCTTGTCAGCAGCTTCCTGCACTGAGATTTGCAATCGTGAAGATAACTGCCGCAAAAGTTCATCTCGCTTTACAATTGCATTTTCAAGTTCTTGAATCTAAAACAAAATAAATACAAGATAGATAAACAGCAATATAGGCAAGCTTGTTCAGCACATACATAAATTTATCTGAAATAAACCAGTTCAGACTATCCATGACAAATTTATTTAGCAAGATTTTCATTCATCCTCCAATTACATACATAGTGATAAGAAAAATAGGAAAAGTATATGGGGTGTCCATAAAATTTGTGTGTACTTAAAAAAATTTATCACTTTATTTGTATTTGCAATAGAAATAATCTGTAAAAAATGTTATAAAGTTTAATGTACCTAGTTTTAAGTATAGCTAAAATAACTAATGTGATTTCAGGCATTACTGTAAATCAGTTGGCAAATGTTTTCCATGAACTGCAAAATCGTATTACCCTTTGTATTGCTAATGATGGAGGAGATGTGGAAACTTAAATAAAATTTCAATAAAACCTTAAAAAATATAGATTTGCTTCTTTCTAATCCTTTTTACAAATTATTTCTATCGCAAATACAAATAAAGTTATAAATTTTTTGAAAGTGCACACGAACTTTACGGACACCCTGTATTTAAAATTCAGTAAGGTAGTAAAATTTCCAAAGTAAATTTTATATGAACAAACTAGCAGCATGCCCCAGCGTTGCCCGTGCTTGATTCAAAAATCATACGACTCATACAGTAATTGCTATCACTTGACTTAAAATATTTTTGCCTTTCCTTGCCTTTAAAGGAGTGCTGTGCTAATGTTGCTACATGCCTTACTTCTTGCCTATCTCACACTTCAAATTTTTTCTAAGCTCTGTACTAAACATTAAATCTGTTACAAAAAAAGAACTAAACAAAATGAACACAAAATGATCAGCTTTAAAAAAGGACTCGTAACTGGAAAAACTGAATGAAAAAAAGAATGTTAACAACAAATACTTTTTCACACCCAGCCCAGAATCGGAATCAACATTCAGTTTAAGCAAGCGAATGAGCCAATTAGAGTAAAGTGCAATGCAGATTTAAATTTTTCCCCACTTGTGACGAATGCAGCATGCTAGTTAACATTCAGTCAGTTGGTTGGTTGGTTCTCACGCTGGCCAATAGAATCTTCCTGCCTATTCATGGCAGCCAGTTATTGGCTCTCACTCTGGCCAGTACAAAATGGCTGCAAACTACATGAAAACTACCGTAGAAGCATGAAAAACATTGATTATTTCCACTATTGATGGGAGTTGGGAAATGCAAAGTCAGTCTTGGCCTTCCCTTGGCATTCGTTTACACACACACACACAGCCTTTTATAGATAGAGATTTTGCAAATATTCAACAAATCGTTCATTTAATATTTATTGATATTCTGATAGAAATATGAAAATGTATTTGAAAAGCTATAGATAAATATTAAATGATGAGAGAACTTATACAAAATATTAACTTCAAAAACATTCCTCTGTAGGAAACTTTATTCTCCCCTTAAAGAAGAGTTTGAAAGAGAGAACCATTTTGGTAAGTTTATTCACAGAATGAATGAAAATATACTCAGTAAGAAAAGAGAACAGAACTGTTACATAATATCAGTCCTCCTATCTGACTGAATGCTGGACAATCTCCTCAAAGATAAAGAGACATGAAACAACAGAAACCTGATTTTACAGAAGAAATACTGAACTGAACACCTGAGCAATGAAGAAGTTTTAGAGAAAATAGGAATAAAAAGGACACTTCTACTTAACATCAGGAAGAGATAGTTGAAATTAATGAGGAAAGAGGGCTTGGAAAATTTGATACTGACAAAACAGATTGAAGGCAAGAGGGATAGATGAAAACAATGCATAACCTATTTAGTGAACATTAGTAAATGGATGGAGGAACAAAGTTTATGAGAGGTAAAAAAAAGAAAAAAAATTATTAAGAGTTACAAAGGACATGATTGCCACAAGAGATATGGTACATAGAAGAATAGTAACACTGAAAAAAAAAAAAAAAAAAAAAAACTAAAGTAGAATAGTGGCAATATTAATGGAGTTGAGGTTGACTTTTTTTCCTCTCATTATTATTCATTTTTTTTATTACATAAAAGGAGTTCACCGTATTTGGAATAATAATATCAATAGTTTTCACATACACAAGTTTTCTCTTTTTGTATATGTATTTATTTGCATGCAATAATATGCATTCAGTAAACATTAGCAATTTTGATTGGAAATTTCACTTTCATCTTACCACCTCTGTTAGATGTGTGACTGAAAAGGCACATTTATCTCCATGTTTACTCAAATGGAAAATAGCACAAGAGTATATTTTAAATGGGCATCTCACATATATTATGAGAATAATGATTGGTACTTCACTTTTGGGATGCTTCAGGCATTAAGCCCAACCCTCTTCCACTTAGCATGATGGGGTGAACTATAGCATTGGACAATGACACCACCCAAGCCCCCAGAAGCTAAGCATATTACATTTTATTTTTACTCAGGGGGTCTTGGAAAAAGAGCCAGAATAAAAAGGATACCATAATTCCCCATGTATAATATGCATTTTTTTCTAAAAAAATAAGCAAAATCAGGGGTGCGTATTATGCACAGCTACAACAAAAAAAAAAAAAATCTTAAAAAAATTCCTGTAAAATAAAATGAGAATTATCATAAAACTAAATTAGAATAATATTATTCTATGTTTAAAAGCATTTATTTTAAATAAGAGCAGGAAATGCTGGCTGTAATGAAATTGGAGAGGTACAATTTATAGGGTTTGATTACCAAGCAAGAGGTGTATTATGCGTGAGTAGAAGTATTTTCCCACACTTTCAGCACAATTTTAAGGGTGCGTATTATAGATGAAGACGTATTATACATGGAGAATTATGATATTTATCCACATGCCCACTTGAATAGAATATAGCAGAAGTGTATGTTTTAAGTGAGAATCTCATGGTTACATAGGATTAGTAATAAAAATTGGTCATTCCCCCCCTAGCACTACTCAGATCCAAGTATATAATGCATATTTTTATATTGATTTGGGAATGACAAGTTTAAAAAAAAAAAAAGCAAGTTTAAAAAACAAAAACTCTTTTTGCATACTTACATAGCATTCAAGATTTTGTTGTGATAAAACACTGTCTCCTTAGCAACTAAATTAACAGAAATTATTTTATTTTCCATGGTAACTATTTTAAAAAAGCCTTTTATTTTGTTTATATAGTTACAATTCTGAATTTCTTCCTTTATTATTTATCTCTCAAATATTTATTTTTACCAACAACAATTATAAAAAATGTTTTCATGTATTTAATGATAATTTTATACTTTTATTCTTTCTTTATTGAGTTCTATTATCGTTATTAAAGTCAAAGGCAGCTTGGATTGAGGAATTGGAGAGCCAAGTTTGAATTCCAGTCAAATCCATTACATTCACTTACATGCTAATACCTTATGGGTAAATAGCAGGACAGACTGGGTTCTGTAGCCTTGAATGGCAACTGCTCTACCACAGAAAGAAATAGCAACCTACTGCAGAGAAAAAAATCTGCCTCATCAGTCATGTATTGAAAGATGTATGATCGCCTACGCATGTATCACACACATAACTGACTGAAGTCAAAGATGTACATTTGATAATGAACTGTTCACTCAGACATCCAGCCTAAAATATATACGGTCTTTCTTATCATGGTAGAGGGCATGTGCATCCCAGTGATTCCAAGAGAGAAGCTGTCTGGAGTTCCAATTCCTGTAGTGATACCCATGGCAGTAAGGTCAAGGAGGAGAGACCAGACTGAATGCAACCACCACCAAAGACCCCAACGGCGGAATAGGCAAATATCTGCACAATCTCAATAGCCAAACTAGTGGAAGATGTAACGAGCATGCACGGAAGGGTCCTTAAACTGCGTGTGTGTGTTTTCGCCAGACACATCTTGGAGTACCATAATGGACTCGACCAAGGACTACAAGGAGACGCATGAGTCATTAAGTGTTTAGTGGGGGGATTGGGGGACAAAAGCTGTTGCAGTTGGTCGTCCATTCGTAGGCAGCAGTTGTGGGTGCCGTTTGCTTGTTTGCTGTCGCAAAGAGTTCGTTTGAAAAAGTCGTGTGTTCGTTTCAGGTTCGCAACAAGGATTTTTTTTTGTTTTTTTTTTCTCACAAGCTATTTCGGCATTATGGCCTTCGACCCAAAGCTGATAACAGTTCGACTGAAGCGATTCTGGACAGTCAGTAGTGGAATGGTTGGAGAAGGCAGAACTGATATGTCAGTTGAGTGGTGTGAAGCGAATTGAGTGTGTTATCCTGATGCGTTTGGCAGGCTGCACATATGCTGTGTACCAGCAATTGAATGAGAAGCGCACAGATTTCAATTGTGTTAAGAAAGCATTATACACGGCCTTCACCTTAGACCCCTTCTCTGCATGGAAGCAGTTTGCAGCACATCGCCTTCAGCCAGGGGAGACAGTCAACGTCTTTTTGGCAGAACTGCGCAGACTCACAGTTCTGTTTGGTGGCATATCAGAAAAGTGTTTGCAGTGTGCATTCATTGCTGGATTGCCTGAGCATGCAGAGGAGCTTTTAAGAGTGTCATCCCAGATGGAAGACCTGGATTTGTCACATGTGCTGGCACAAGCTTGCGCTATCTTGAAGAAGTGCACTGGTTCTACAGAGCAGGCCGCAGTGGCTGCACAGTTGATGGAAACAGATGTGCACACGAGGTGCTATAAGTGTGATGGGCCCAATCATAGGGTGATCGATGTCATCGGCAAGGGCACATTGCTCGGTGTTGTCTGGGAAACAAGCAAGGGGGCAAGAATTCAGCACCAATCTCCTCCCCAAAACACTTGTAAATGGTGCATTGCCTGTAGTGACAGTTCATATCAATGGAATACCATGTATAGCTCTGGTGGATACAGGATGCACACAGTCACTAGTCCTCAAGTCAGCTGTCGAGCATGGACAAGAAAATCAACATGTGTGCTTACAGTAGACGGAGACACACTTGACTGCTGTGGAATCGGAGTGGCACAAGTTAGCATTGGTGCAAAGCCGTCCATCGCTATGGAAGTCCTAGTTGTGAATGGAGACCTGCATGGATTTGACTTGCTGCTCGGACTAGATGCCATCAAACAATTGGGAGGAATATCTGTAATTGGCGCCAGTGAGGTAAAGTTTCCGCAGTATGTCGAACTAGTCATTGCTGCCATAATCATTACCAAGCCCGACTTTATAAAGTAGAATACAATGAGACCACTCGGAGGTGGACCACGTCTTGGAAATGGGCTGGCAACCAACCTCCGGGTACGTTAAGAAATAGACTGGCAGAATATCCAGCTCCTGCACAAATTCGGGAGGAGTATGATCGGGAACTCCAGATGTGGGTAGATGCAAGCTACTTAGCCACCAGTGTGGTTGTGGAGAGCAATGGCGCCGTGGCAAAAGATGCAAGCTGGCTCCAACCAGTGCATGAAGACAAGCACATCAACTTGGCTGAGTTCAATGCTGTGTTGCAAGGTGTCAACCTTGCATTACAATGGAAGGTTAAAATCATTCATTTACGGACAGACTCAGCATGTGTACATTGCTGGGTAGCTGATACCCTGTCCAGATGGACGAGAGTGCGCACCAAGGCAGCCTCCGAGATGCTAATCAGATGTCTGCTAGTCACACTCCAAGAGTTGGCCTTAGAATACGAGCTGGACATTGATGTAGAACTTGTCAAGTTGTACAACAATCGAGCCGACCAACTTACTTGAGTACCGCAGCGATGTTTAAATGAAATGCGCAAAATAATGGAACCCAGAGAACCTATGTGCGCTGTGGCTGAAGAGCGAGATGTTGCTCAAGTACGAGCCATTGATCAATCCAGCGGACACCCTGGTGTGAAGAGAACACTATTTTGTGAAGTTGATCGACCCAAGAGTAACAAAAGCTGAGATGCAAGCAGTGGTCAGGGGATGTAAGGAATGCCATTCAATCGACCCGGCCCCAGTGCGTTGGAAACCGGGGAGGCTTGATATCGTGGAAAATTGGCACAGGGTTGCGATGGATGTAACCCATTTCGGATATCAACTATATCTGACACTGATAGACTGCAGCCCCAGTCGTCTTGTCATTTGGAAGCCCTTGCACCACCAAGATTCTGCTGGCATCATCAAGCAGTTGGAAGTAGTGTTTTGTGAAAGAGGGCCGCCAATTGAGCTGCTTACGGATAATGGTGCAGCGTTTTTGTGGAGAGTGGTTTGCTGCTTTTGCAAAGATGTGGAATGTACAAATATGATTTCGCTGTGCCCATGTACCATCGGGGAATGGGATAGTTGAGAGATCCCATCGTACAATAAAGTGCATTGTGAAGAGAACACGGTGTTCAGTTTTGGAAGCTGTATATTGGCACAACGTTACCCCAAAGGACAATAAAACAGCTTCAACTGCACCGGCAAATGCAACCTACACCTACAGGGTCCGCATTAAGGGTATCGATGCAGCTTTGGTGCGTGACGTCACAGTTGCCAATCCTTATACGGTACAAGAGACTGTCTGTGTGAAAAATCTGCACCAAAGGTGTATGACACCGTTCAACAAGGATACAGTGACACAAATTAATAGTCCACACTCCATCTGTTGATGGAACACCGCACCACATAAAAGATGTGTGTCCAGCGTGCGGGAAGGATTATTCAGTCAGCAACCACGTTAGTTCTTCAGATAATGATGAAGAACCGATGGTATATATAAAATCACAGGAAGAGCACACCTCAGAGAGTAGCGCGCCTGATGAACCTATGTGGGATGAGCTCAGTGAGACGTCTGAAGAGAGCACCACTGAGGAAGCGCTTGAGACCATATCACTGAGACAAAGCACCAGGCAGAAACGGCCTGCCCCACATTGCCAATTGTGTGATCTCAAGATCAGGGAGGAGTGTAACGAGCATGTGCGGAAGCATCCTCGAAGTGTGTGTGTGTGTGTGTGTGTGTGTTTTCGCTGGGCACACCTTGGAATACTATAATGGACTCGACCGACGACTACAAGAAGAAGATGCGCGAGTTGTTTGGTGGTTTTTTTGGGGGGGGGGCAACAAAAGCCACTGCGGTTGGTCATCCGTTCGTCAGCAGCAGTTGTGGGTGCCGTTTGCTGTTGTAAAGTGTTCGCTCGAAAGAGTCGTGCGTTCGTTTCAGGTTCGCAACTAGTGACATTTGAACAAAATGGCTATTTTTGTAGTGATTTTATAACATATTTATGTTATAATTTTTGAGTAATTATATTTGCTCTACTCTGTATTGAGCACACTTTTAAGAAAAAGTATTTGTTGGTTATTGGAATTTATTCCGTATACACCAATCCTATACTTGTGTGTGTGTGTATATATATAATTTGTATGCATTTTTTAAATATAACTTTAAGACAGACATACTGTCAAAATGTCATTAAATAGTGTGTTTTTTTTTTCTTCTTAAATCAAACTCTTCTCTAAGCATATTATTATTGTATTTGAATCTTAATTTGGTGATAGATAAATATATACTGTTTATATTTGATCTTTTAAGTTACTTGGTAGGTGTCGCCTTTGAATGGATGGAGATCTTATTCCTCACCAGGAGATGTAGTCAGTGTATTCTAGGCACTACTGACAGAAAAATTTCATATCAATCAGTGATTTTATGATATAAATTAACTGAAAATCAGAAAAAAGGTATTGTCAAGCCATTAATTTTTTTTAAAAAAAAAAATCAATTCACCCCCAAGCAAGGTTATAAAACCACTAAGACGCAAGAGATTACTGAGTGTGAGAGAATGAGAAAAAGTAAAACATTAAAGAGCAATAAAAGGACAGGAATTTAGACAACAGAAGATAACAATTGACATTGCACTAAAATTTTTCAGATTAAAGTTAACTGGAAAGCAAGTGGCCAGAAGAGAGTTTCACAAGCAAGAAGTAAAAGAGAAGAAACTGTTAACATAGAACTTGCAGTTACATCTAACCAGTTCAACTGTATGATGAGGCCTTCCCGCCAAGTTAGTACTCTGCTTAAATTCATAAAGTTTAGGTGCCAAAAAGGAAAGCTCATCAGAACAATTAACATTAAAATATTTATAGAAAAGGCATAGGGAAGCTATGTTACAGCAGTGGGAAGCTGACTGAAGCCAAGATGCCAGGTCAAGACCAATAACATTCCAGATTTTTCCTTGTATTTTATCAAGAATTAATGAAAATACTGTAAAGAAAACATGTGCCAATATATGTTTAATGTAAATACAGTGCTACTGATTTGACAATACATATTGGGTGGGGGTAATTACAAAAGCGAACTGCAAAAATTCAAAAATCCATGTAAGCATTAATGACAGAAGTTTTGTATAATATTCTATGCCAAAGAGACAACTTTGCAATATAAAGCAGGAAAAAACACATTGTTCATCCATGTGGTTTTAATCTTTACTTATATCTAAGTAATTGAAATTTACATAGTGAAAATACAGGCTTACTGATGTAGCATCAAGTTCAATAGATTGTTTTTAACACTTCAACTCCCAGAGGTCAATTATGAAATCTAATTTTAAGTGCCAACTTAGGCAATAAAAACTTTGAGTTCATTTATAGCATCAAGTCTTAACATTGTCTTCACACTAAAAGTATCACTATTTAGTTACCAGTATGATTGTTCATTCTTGCTTTAGATACTAGTTACCAGTTATTTGAGCTAAAACAACATAAAAACTTGTGGTTGTAGCCTTGCAGGCATGAACACAAAACCCGAGATAAATCTCCAGCATTGATAGAGTCCAAAAGAATACCTTGACTGTCATCACTCCTCCCAGAACTCCTCACCAGCCACTAGGGGGGTCACTCGGACCCAGTTTGTTGACCCCTAATCTAACCCATGACTGGGGGTGGGGGAGAAGAGATGAATTCATACCTTCCCCAAGAGTATTTGCATGGAAAAAATGAAAAGAAAAAAAGAAAAAAGAAGTTGGAATAGGAGAAATGAAAAGAACTGATTTGTTTGATTTGTTTTTTGCAGCTTATCGACCCATTCTGGCTTATTTAAAGCCAAAACATATTTTGGATTGTAAGTGAATATTGCATTGACAACTTTTTGGAGATAATGATTTTTTTCGAGATACAAGTCCTACTATTTAACCCAAAGCTGGGGGAGAGAAGAGATGGATGGTGTATTTGCATGTAAGTGAATGTAATGAACTGGACTGGAATTTGAACTAGACTCTCTGATTTCTCATTCCGAGCCACTATTACATGAGACAAGCTCGTGAATCATAACTAAGTATAAAAGTGGAATGTAACAGCAAAGCAAGATTTCACTCTCTTACTTACCCGTAGTATTTGGTCTCTTTGACATCCGGGTTTACACTTCTCAAGATGGTCATATGAATTCTAAAATAAATCAAATAAAACAATGCACTGATTTATAATGTTAAAATATGTAATTACAAACCAACAGAGATACTGGATGGGGGTGGGGGTGAATAACAAAATGGTAAAAAAAAAAAAAAAAAAATTCTTTTACTCCCTTACCCAGAAAAGCATGAATAAATCTGCCACTTAATGAGAAAAAAAAAAAAAAAAAAAAAAAAATCGTTATACACAATAAAAATTTTGTCAGCATAATTTTTCATTGCCATATTTAGTGGCAAATGAATATTAATCAGAGATGAATCATTATAGTAATAATTTCAGGTCAGAATTCAGCTCATAATTATCAGGATGCAGAGTTACTAATTGTGTGTGTACACATTCACACACATATATATATATATATATATATATATATATAATGCAATTGGATGTCTAGCTGCACTGATTAGCTGCAATACAGCGAAACAGGCCTGTATGTGGCCGACATTATTATGCTCTTGATAATTTCGGTTGAGCACTGTTGAGAGAGAGTGGGAAATTCTAAACAGCAACCGTCTCTGCCAACACAATGCTTTTCATTAAATGAATCAAGCACTATGGCTGTCTGACATTTGTTTACATTTGTAAAAATAATACGCTAGAAATTCCCTTTCCTTCTGCCATGTGCTGATAGCTTTGAGGTAGAAATTTCGACTGATGCCAAATCAGTCAGGTTTTGACCCCGACTTTAAGCAATTGGATGTCTAGTCACACTGATGAGCTGTGATACAGCAAAACAGGCATGTATGTGGATGACATTATATATATGTATATAAAAATATTTTGTTTTAGGATATTATCCCGAAAACATGTAAAAGTCGCTACACAATTGCAGTCATGTTTCAATGCAGATCAATGCATCGCTCAAGCGATTGTAATTCACTGACAAGTGAATGATTTATTTAGATTTTAAAGCAAAATACCTCTTTTACAAAAAAAAAAAAAAAAAAAAAAAGATAAGGTTTGAGAGCTTTACTCTGATTGACTAATCAAATATGATCTATGTTAAATTTAAACTAAGCAAAGAAGCAAAAAATTTTTAATTTTTTTTTTTTTTTTTTTATAAATGGGTCATGACCAGTAGATCGGTAGCTAACAGCAGCCAGACAAAAACTTAAAGCAGATACATAAAATATACAAACCAGACAATGCAGTTTCCTATGAAACAAAAGGTGGGTAGAGAAGTAATTTAACAAAATGATAAACAAGTTACGTGTTTTGCGAATTTCCTACATAATATTTTTGTAGCTGATAAATAAATGGCTTCTTTAAGAAACTAGTAAATAATTTAAACATATAAAATTATTTAGTAAATTAATATGCAACTGTTAAATGAAGATACTTCATATATGATGTTAAGAACACTAATCAATGTAAAATGTCAAAAATAGCAACCAAATACCAATACATCTGTACAAGATGTTAATACTACCAGGAAATTAGTACAAAATCCAGATTAATCTTAAAAATAGAAAGATAAGTCATATATAGTGCAATGCAGTACAACAAAAATATAAGAAAAAACATTATCAAATTCTAAAGTTTAATTAAATTGTAAAGTAAAATGTAAACTATGCTTACAATTTACACTTAATTCACTTCATTGATTTAATAATTTTTGTCAAAAAATCTGATGATTTCAAGTTTTTCATCTAAAAACAGAAAACAGGGTTCATACAAAGCTCTACAGGTCCTTTAAAATTTTCTATTTCACCTTAGAAGTCTTATTATCATGTTTTAAACTCCAAAAATATTTAGAAAGTGATGTATAATTTTTGTAAGTAGTATTGGTGAAGGAGAAGATATCACCTAGTTTTAAAAGAATTCTTAGTACTACCAATATAGAATTTTTCAAATGTTGGATTCTCTATTGTAGAGATAGTACTAAGATAAACAAGAGATTTAGTTAAACATTTGTTTAGCAATGGGCATTGGTCAGAATTCCTACAATTACATTGGCCAATATTATTATTAATATGTATTTTGGAACATGTATTATAATCCAGATTATTAAAATGGTTTAAAATTTTATTATTGTGTAACTTTATAATCTTCAAGATTATTGGTGCAGCTATAACTTAGTTTGAATGTGTTTCTGTTAAATGTTTTACTTAGAGGGTTACTTTTAGGAAATTGTTTATCAATCAAATGGAGGAACTTATGGTCTAACTTAGTACTAACTGATTGATTAAATGGAAAGAGTGGGTGTACCAAATGATCTTCTGATTTCTATTTCTTTTCTTTGGACCACTATCATCATATTTTCTTAACTTGATTTCAGTATACTTATAACCACTATTCTTTAAAACTTTATTATGAACACTGATATATTTATCAAAAATCTTTGATGAGTGGTAGCCAATGCTACGTTCTACAGACAAAGGTAGATGTTGGATTACAGATGGAAGGTGGTTAGAATTGGGGTGAATATAAATTGGATTGGCATTATTTTTTAGATAAGGTTGATATATATATATATATATATATATATATATATATATATATATATATATTATATAATAGCTGGTCACTCGTATTCAGAGCTACCTGTCTGCTAGGGCAGGTAGCCAATCCATATTGCAGACGCTCACTCAGGCACATTTGTGATTGCTCAACACCCACAGAGCCTACCTGTGGTTTATGCTGCAACTATGCTGAGCAGACCTTACTTACAGTTTCTGGGAGAGAACATGTTATCTAGCGTGATCAACAATTTGAGCAAGGCCAGTATGCTCAAGCCCTTGACTACAATGACTTGTGGCTTCCTGCTAGCACAGCTATTGACGACTCACAAGAATTCTGTCTACCCAATTTCACTGACAAGGCTTGGGTCAACCCATGGTATGGTTTTCAGGCAATTCCTAAATATGCTGCACACTTGGATCAACCTCAATCCAGTCCAATAATATCAGGAAGTTGCCTTCCTGACAAATTGTTCATGGTGAGATTTGAACCAGGGCCTTATAGTCAGAAAGTGAATGTTCTAGGCGTTGCACCAGTGTGTGTATATATATATATATATATATATATATGAGTAATCATAGTATATGGATGTTTTCGGGTGATTTTCAATGAGTTTTAACAAAGAACTGTTTTCGTTCATCTCTTCTCTCATTATTAGCCGCAGTTTCCTTTTAGTGTCTATTCTTAAAACTTCCTAGTTTCTCATATATACTCTCCATGTTATTCTCTGCATTCATCAGTTGAATCGCATCTATGTTGCTGCAAGCCTCTTCTTCATATGTAATGAATTTGTCAAGCATTTGCTGCCAAAGAGATTAGATATTACCTCGCAGTTTGGCTCTCATTTCTTTGTTTCTAACTATATTTTTCTATCTCTTAACACTTTGCTTTTGAAAGGCATGAGAAAATTGTCCAGTATTCACTGTCATATAGAAGATTAAATATTATATAGCAATTCAGCACGTGTCCTTGTTTCTTACTATATTTCCATTTCAATTAATACTTTGCTTTGAGGTATGAGGAGATTGGCTATTACAGAACAGTTTATCATTTTTTTTCTTTGTTTCTAACTATATTTTCCTTTCTCTTAATACTTTGCTTCTGAAAGGCATGAGAAGATTGTCCAGCATTCACTGCTATACAGGAGATGAGATATTACATAACAGTCCAATCTTTTCTTTTTTTCTAACTATATTTTCCTTTCTCTTAATACTTTGCTTCTGAAAAGCATGAGAAGATTGTCCAGCATTCCCTGCTATACAAGAGATGAGATATTACATAGCAGTCCAATCTTTTCTTTTTTTCTAACTATAATTTTCCTTTCTCTTAATATGTTGCTTACTTTCTGGAAGGTATTTTTTCACTATTCCTATGCAATGACATACATGAATAAAATACCCACAGCATTTGAATTGATAAATATATCTTAATTCTTATTGAAAAAAAAATTAATTTTTTTTTTTTTTTTTTAATGTAAAAAATTGACTAAATATCTAATTTAATCTAATCAAACTTGCTAGCACTCATAAGTTGATTTTTTTTTTTTTTTTTTAATTCAAACACTGGAAATGTTTCACTATTCAGTTAGAAAATTAAAACTATTACCATTCTCTTTCTGTACTGAAAAGATTCCATTAGCTCAAGTTTTATTCATTTTTATAATTATTAACCTTCACCCAGTGTTCACAATTAACAATGTAAAGTTCAGAACCCATTAAACTTGCCATCTGTTATTACCAGACTAAAAAAGAATATTAAAGCTTCATTGTTCTTATTAATGACACAGACTAACAATATATATCCAAATGATAAGAGGACTTAATTAATTATAAGACTGGCTTACGGACATAGTACATTTTGTTCTTTTCCCCAGAGGTGGGATATTAGCAGTTTGCATATGTAATTATCTTCATATTTTTAAGGCACTGGTTTCCAACCGATTTTGGGCCATGTCCCACTTTGGTATTTCTAAAATTCTGGATGTGCAGTTAATGTAATGGATAACTGCCCAGGATGAGAAATTGGGGAGTTAAATTCAAATTCCCATTGGATTCATTACATTCACTTATACTAATTATACTTGGAATTCATTACATACACTCATTGTGCTTATAATTCATTACATACACTCATTGTGCTTATAATTCATTACATACACTCATTGTGCTTATAATTCATTACATACACTCATTGTGCTTATAATTCATTACATACACTCATTGTGCTTATAATTCATTACATACACTCATTGTGCTTATAATTCATTACATACACTCATTGTGCTTATAATTCATTACATACATCATACTTATAATTCATTACTCATTGTGCTTATAATTCATTACATACACTCATTGTGCTTATAATTCATTACATACACTCATTCATTGTGCTTATAATTTATAATTCATTACATACACTCATTGCTTATAATTCATTACATATAATTAATTCATTACATACACTCATTGTGCTTATAATTCATTACATACACTCATTGTGCTTATAATTCATTACATACACTCATTGTGCTTATAATTCATTACATACACTCATTGTGCTTATAATTCATTACATACACTCATTGTGCTTATAATTCATTACATACACTCATTGTGCTTATAATTCATTACATACACTTATACTAATTATACTAATACTCTTGGGTGATTATGAACTAAAAAGAGACATGATCACCAAACCATGTCACATCTGCTCCTACCAATATGCATTGGGCCAGTGCAGTCGGGTAATGGCCTATTCCTCCCATGAATCTGGGGAAAACCTACTTCCAACAAAAGGACCTTCACAGACTAAGAAGCAATATAAGTGATACCATGCCCTGTTCCCCCCCCCCCAATCTTCTTAATGAGTCTAAAGCCAAACTAGATTTAAAATTTATATTTTATTTTTATCCATGCTCCTGACCCCACTTTGACAACATTTTTCTTTGTTTCTAAATATATTTTCCTTTCTCTTAATACATTGCTTTGCTTCTGAAAAGCAAGAGATTGTCCAGCATTCACTGCCTATAGAGGAGATTAGATATTACAGAGCAGTTCAATAATCTTTTCTTTGTTTCTAACTATATTTTTCTATTTCTTAATACTTTGCTTTTGAAAAGCATGAGAATACTGTCCAGCATTCACTGCTATAGAGATTACATATTACAGAGCAGTTCATCACTATTTTCTTTGTTTCTAACTATATTTTCCTTCCTCTTAATACTTTGCTTTGCTTCTGAAAGGCATGAGGCAATTAAATATTGTCGTAAATCTTCAGTAAATTGGGTTAATTTAACTCGTAACTAACCATCTGAGAATTAGAAATCACAGTTTCTTGCTTGAGTCGTTCATTTTCTGATTTCACTGACTGAATCTCACGTCCCAGCCGCTCTAATGCTCGCTGTTTGCCCAAAACAGATTCCTCCAGTTCGCTGATCTTGCTACTCGCTTGGCGTAGTTCCATCCGAGCAGCTTGGAAAAGATTTTGCCTTTCACTTTCCTGGAAAATAAAAATAGAAAATAACTTCTTTTTTTTTTTTAATTATCAAATTATTTCCATGACAAAAGCATTTATAAACAAGTAGCAATATATATTTAAGTAACAATTTCCCAAAACTTAATCATACACCATTTAAGATGTAAAATTCAATGTATATTTATTTTTAGCAATTATAACCTTGATTCACACATTCATTCCTATTCATTCTTATCAACCCTTTGTAGGTTATTTAAAGCCAGAAAATATTTTTAGACTGTAAAAATTGTTTTTTTTGGGGGGGTGGGAGAGAGATAATGATTTAGTGATACAAGTCTTACTAATTAACCCATAGCTGGGGTAAGAAGAGGTGGATTCATACTTTTCCCAAGAGTATTTGGGTGTAAGTGAATATAACAAACTGGATTTCTAACTTGGCGCTCTGATTAACAGTTCTGAGCCATTATTCATCCTACACATCCAAGCTTACAGCACCTGATATTCCTACGTGGTCGCCCACCTAGGTACTGACCAGGCTCAACATTGCTTAACTTGAGTGATTGTATGTTAACTGGTATTTCAAGGTGATTAGCTTTTATCATATTTTAAGAATTATGCTCTATGCATACATTTCTTATAGAGAGAATATTAGTGCATTTCAATTATACAAATTTTTTTTTTTAAGTCTTCATTTACAATTATTTGCTTCATGTTGTCGATTTGTTTAGCAGCATCTCTATGGGTTAGCTAATGCTGAAATTTAAATAATTTGAATACTATTTTATGGCTTCAACTGAATTTATTTTGAACACAATTGTATGCCTTCAACTACAGAAAATGTATTGTTTGTCATTTTGCTATAAAATGTACTGTTGTCTAAATAGTTTCCAAATAGGAAATAAAAATAATGCTTAACAACAAAAGCCTTCTATTTATATAGTTTCTTTCCTTCATCTGTGTAAATTAGCAACACCACAAAGTTTCTTTGCTTCGAAATCTTGACACAGGATTATTTGCCTCATATCTTGTTATAATCTTGAGTCAACGATGAAAACAATCTGATTACATAGTTTAATTTCTTGCTTCCATCTCATTTGCTGATAAAACACTCACTGCTAAAAGACATCAAAGACATGAGAATTAAAATTTCTCCCCACAAATCACAAAAGTAACACTAGACAGGACATTATATATTTTTTTTTACTATAGTTTACCCAATAAAAGTCCCAAAAGCCACGTAGATTGTTACTGAATGAAGTATGCAATTTGAACATATAAAGATGAAGTAGGAAAAATTATGGGGATATGCCAGATAGATAACAATTGACCCTAGACTTGAAGAGGTTAAAAATGTAGTGTTTGAGGAAGCATCCATGTGGGAGTCTATTCCACAAAATAACATTTCTTGGAGGAAGCTTTCAGAGTGAAATGCCCATTTTATGAAAGGAATACATAAGGGAATGAGGATGATTTGATCCTGCGGATGTAGCAAAGCAGATTTCAGCCATAAAGGTCTGAGCTGGTAGCCCTAAAGAGCATTTGTCATCAAAGTAGCAATATTGTAGCAAGATGCTTGCAGTGGCTTGAGGATGAAAAATGTCATTCCCTACATATAAAGTTTTTTTTGTTTACCACTGTGATAAGTGAAATGGTCATCATATGGGTAGAGTCCTTGGTCAGTTTTTCAACAGCTGGACAGTTGCTTCCTACAATGGGTTTCAATTCTGTTATATACCATACCTATGAACACTAATGGGAATGTCTCGGTCCTCATAAATACATTGGACACTATTGTAAGTGGGGGTGATATGCTGTCTAAGTAATCCACCACTAGCTGTGGTTTACCTACTTCATGCCACTGGCGAGTATTGTATTTTGTTGATGTTATAAAGATTACCATTTCATTTCCAACCTCCATTTTGGTTATTTCTTGTTCAGTAACCCTTTCTAGGTTACAACAAATTCCTACCTGTATCAGTGTGAACAAACACTGGAAGAGGCCTGGTATACAGCCAACAAAGGAACAGAAGGTGAATATATTGACAGATTTGTTTTTTTTTTATGACTTAACCCTTTGTGGGTTATTTAAACCCAGAACCTATTTTGGATTTAGAAGATTGCTTCCAAAACCTGATAAGTGAATATAGATTTAGTAAGAAAAGACAAATCCGTTTTTTTTTGGGGGGGGGGCAATATGATGAGTTCTTTATTTCTGGATTCAACTGAAACTTTTTTTTTTTTAAAGCAGGGAAGGTAAGTGACACTCAGGACATCTTAACTGCTACTTCAGTGTTCTCTCACGACAGATTAACGGGTAATTTTTTTGTGTTATGTTCCGACTTTTGCTTAATTAAATTCCTCTGCAAACTGGCAATAAATTCTGGATTAATTGGAATTGGGCTTAGAATTCCAGGGAATTTCCTTGCAGATTCCCTTGTTCTCTCTTTAGATAAAAAAATGCCATGTCCTTTCAAGAGAGAGACAATCATAGCTCTCTATAGCTTCCTTTCTTTAATATCTGTAAATTGCATAAGTTAGTTGGTGGGTTGATTTTGTTGAGCAGCATATCAACCTCTATGGGTTATTTAATGCTGAAATCTAAATATTTTGAACAGAATTTTATAACTTCAACTAAATATATTTTGTATGCAATTGTACGCCTTCAACTGCAGATAAAATTTTTAGTCATTTTGCTTTAAAATATATTGTTAGTAATTTTGCTATAAATATGGATTGTTGGTAATTTTTTTATATATATATATATATATATATATATAAAAATGCATTGCTGATATTTTTATCATAAAAATGTATTTTTAAACTTTCATAGTATTTTTGTTTTTGTTTAGGGTTCACTATTTGCCCATAGCTGGGGCCCTAACAGATGCTACCACCCCCATGTCATGGTGGACCTGGGAACAACAGTAATTAAAAGGTCATTCCACACTCCTCAAAACCTCCAATCTGTTGATCAGTATTTCTGTCTTTTGTTTACATTCTACATGTCTTTGCCAGGCATAAGCAATCTGGCTCTTCACATCTTCCTACTTTTGTAGCCCTTAGTAAAATTTATCATTTTGCTATATCTCTTAATCCCTGTTCTGCCAACCATCTACACAAGCTTGTTCTTTTTCTGCCATGACCTTTCAGAACATTGGAGATCATGGCTCTCCACACTTTCCTGTCCTTTGGAGTTATTAATAAATTTTATCTTTTTGTTATCTCCTAATTCCTGTTCTGCCAACCATTTATACAAGCTCGTTCTTTTTCTGCTGTGACCTTTCAGAACATTGGAGAACATGGCTCTCCACACTTTCCTGCTCTTTGGAGCTATTAATAAATTTTATCTTTTTGTTATCTCTCCTAATTCCTGTTCTGCCAACAATTTACACAAGCTTGTTCTTTTTCTGCTGTGACCTTTCAGGGTGTTGGAGATCATGGCTCTCCACACTTTCCTGTCCTTTGAAGCTATTAATAAATTTTATCTTTTATCCGTGTTCTGCTAACCATTTAAAAGCTCATTATGAAGGTTATTCGTTGATATCCTGCTTGGTATGTCTATTGCATGGATTTAGCATGCTACTTAATTTTTACTGTTGAACTAGCTAAATGTAACCGTAAGTTCTATTCTAATAATTTCTTATGAGAATATTGATGGGCAATTCCATTTTAAAATCAGTTTTTAGCTATCTGCTGCAATATATGTAAATTTAAAAAATAAATATCACATGCCGGATGTAGTGCATGAGGTAGTGGAGTGCTTACCAGTTTTGAATTCAGCTTAGTCCTTCTAGACAGGCTGATACCCAGTCTACCCTGTTATTTCACCCATAGCTGGGGTAAGAAGAGATGGATTCATTGAATGCAAAAAAATTAGATCTGAACATGGATAGCTAGTATTGGAATAATATGGTTACTCATGTGAAAGAATTTTATTTCACTTGAATGTTTTTAGTTTTAATAGACAGTATATGGCATTCCCATTGAAAGGTTATCGATTTGGAATACTTGTTTGATAGACAAAACATTTGCATTGTTTAGTATATTCTCCGATCTCTGATTGGACAATTATGCATCTAATTTTGATTTTCAGGAACAATAAATCCCTAACTTTATATATATTACAACATATAGTATTGAATTACTTTACTTACCGATAAGGACTGATTGACTTCATCTGTAAAATCTTCAGTCTGAAATTATTATTTAACCAATTAATACAAGTAGAATCATTCAAGTTTAACTTAAAAAAATTTTTAAAAAAAAAAAAAAAAAAAAAAAAAAGTTAAATTTTTATTTTTCCTTATAAAATGATAGGATTTCTGTGCATGATCTTAATATAGCAAAAACAGGACATCATAGCACAGTTTTAAACACAATACTGTTAAACTGTCCCAACTTAGATAATAAAACAATTTCCTGTCCAATCAAGCTACTCATTTCCAAATATTAATTACCACATATACTCACGGATAGGTTGCATTTTTTTTTTTTTCTAAACTAAAAATTTCACAAAATATTAGGGATGTGACTGACCTATCCACTCGACAAATGTAATATGACACTACCTTGTCATCATGATTTCTGAGAAATTGGAAATGATACCCAAACAAACACTAAAGCTGTGGTTTTTCTCCATATAGAAACAATTTATCTATACTGACTCACTGCTTTAAACTTAACTCATGCTGCTAGATTCACATATCCATCACAAATAAAATTATAAAATATTCACTGATCCATCAGTCACCGTTCAGTCAGGGCCCTTGCACTAAACTGATATAAAAACCCTGAACATGCATACATAAGTTAAGGAACCATTTGTAGATGTTTATTGGCGAAGAAAAAATAGTCCCACGATTCATTCTGCAATATATATATATATTTTGTCAAAAATACGTTGGAAAATATAACAAAGAAATGAAATATATTCTTTATGAGATAATTTTCTTTAATGGTTGTTTCATATATTAAAAGGCGTTCTTAAATGTTATTTACAAATAAATCACATAAATCCAGGGCCCAAAACATATCCAAATTCATAGTTAATAATTTTAATTGTTGCAAACCTTAATCATGAGTAAAAGAAAGAGTTATGAAGCAGGTTTTAAATTAAAAGTACTAAATCATACAGGAGAACATAAAAATTGATCTGCAAAAGTGTATTAATAATTGTAAGTTTTGAAATAAAGGTAGAAATAAAAGGTAGATATCTGATAATTCTTATGTTAAAAAGGGCTATGTAACTCCCTAGATTATAGTGTGACCTATCCGTAAGTCAAATGTAAATCACCAATTATTAACTATTTCAACCATGGAAAAATTAACAATCAAACCCATGTTAAATTTTCAAGAGTGTAATTGGAAAAATTGTTCATAAATTCAAACTAAGTGGGTTTGGGTCAGATGTGAAAACACCACTGCATGCTAGTTTATGCCGTTGAGTTGAAAACTTTGATGCAGTGCACAAGAATGTTTCCAAAAATCCAGACACCACTATTCATCATCATGTTCAGGAATTGAACCCCTTCATGACAACATTGCATCATTTCCAGTTGCACGCTCAGTTGGTTGATTATGTTGACCAAAAAAATTGTGAAGTGCGCAAAATGGATTTCTGTTTGAATGTCCATTTTCTTAATAGGCTTCAATAACTTTAACACATTGTTTGGTTGTTAATCTTTCTATGGTTGAATTTGCTAAAGACTTAAGTTGTTAAATCTGAAAGAAAAAGAAAAAAATCAGATGCTTAAAATTAACTTACATTTAAAATTGGTCCAAGTTATTGGAACATCCTTTAGTTGTGTAGTAATTTTGAAAAAGTTGAACAAATATTTTTAGATTATAAGAATTTTTTTTGAGATTATAATGATTTAGTGATACAAGTCTCACTAATTAACCTATAGCTGGGGTGAGAAAAGGTGGATTCATACTTTTTCTAATTATATTTGTGTGTAAGTTAATATAATGAACTCAACTGAAATTGGAACTTGGCTCTTCAATTAACAATTCCAAGCCATTATTCATTAAACCTCAAGCAAATCCAAGCTTACAGCACCTGGCATTCCCAAGTGGTCACCCATCCAGATACTAACCAAGCTAGCCATTGCTCAACTTCGGTGATTGTGCAGGAACTGATGTTTCAACATGACATGATTGTAAGCCAATTATAACCTTGAAATTCAGCAAGAATTTAGCTAAGAAAACAGATTACAAAGATATATATAAATGTAAAATTCATGACAGAGCTTGTGAATGATTTCCCAAAAGATTTATTCCTAAATATGGAAATGGCTGGACAATTAAAGGGGGGCATGTTTAGGGGCAGTATTTGGTAATAGGAGAGATTGTGCTGTTTTTAAATAAGGAGATGTGATTGAAGACCAGTAATAGGGATAATCACGCATGGCAGAATGGTGGATAGCAGCTTGGATTGAGGAATCGGAAAGCAGAGTTCAAATTCCTGTTGAATCCATTACTTATGTGCTAATACCCTTGGGAAAGGTATTGATCCTCCACTTCACCCTCCAGTTATGTGTAGATAACAGGACAAACTGGGTTCTATAGCCTTGGATGGCAACTGATCTAGGAGAAGGACAACTCTGAATTCAAAACCTGCAGAGGGTCGTTTGGGGACCCTGTAGTGCACAAGGTCTCTGTATTCAGCCCTTCAAAAAGTGTGGATGGTTCTGCACAAAGCCTTCACCACTATAATCAAATCTCATGTACTGGTGTCTGGACTGTCAGTTCCTAGGAACTGAGATGCTTGACCCTCATATGTCAAATATGGCGGGAGAGTCCACCAATAGAGCTAAACAGGATTTGGACTAGCTGAACATTTCTACCTAATAAATAAATTCCAGAATTAAACCCATCACTGGAAGGATCCATGAAAATCTATCTATCTGAAAACCAAATATATTGTGCTTCATTTGGGGACTAAAGTCATTGTCAGCTACATGCCAAGAGGATCTCTGCCATTTCAACTGTCTTGGGTGGTGAGACATTAAGAAAATCCAAGCAAAATTTATCACCTTGACAAATGTGAAGAAGTAAAGGAAAATCACTTTAGAGCAAAACGGAATAAATGACAGGTAAAACCAGTTGATATTGTTTCTTTTTCTTTTAAACCTCTCCATAACTATTGGTCATAAAAATTGAGCAGACAAGGAATGAACAAACAGATCAAAGATAATCTCTCTCTGATATATGAGTTTGTTTTGATTGACTTAATCATTTGTAGGTTATTTAAAGCCAAAACATATTTCTTTAGATTGTAAGAATTTTTTTTTTAGTGAGTGAATATCACATTAAAAATTTTTTTGAAAATAATGATTTTTCTAGCTAAAAGCTGAAGAGATGGATTCATAATTCTCCCAAAGAATGCAACAAACTTAACTAGAATTCAAAATCAGCTCTCTGATTTCTCAATCCACTACCCAAGTGTGTGTACCGCCAACCCAACCCACACAAAAAAAAAAAAAAAAAAAAAATTTACTAGTGAATTTTTTTTTTTTTAAATTCTTCCTCAGACATGTTATGTCTAAAGACTAACATGTCAAATCTCTACATCAGATGACCAGAAGATTTGCAATAGAAACGCTGTGTGAGCCTAAGGGTTAAAACAATTTATAATAATAATAATAGTAGTAGTAAAAGTTAATCTGCTTATCATTTCTAGTTAAAAAAAAAAAAAAAAAAATAATTAAATATCTTCCTCAGCTTTCAAGGAGGAAATCCTTGCAAAAGAACAAACATGCCCCATAGCCTAAAGAAGAAACAATTAACAGACAACAATTGGGGAAGGGAGAAAAGAAATATAAGAAAGAATAATTAAACAATGAGCAGACAATAAAAATGCACCTCTGATTGGTCAGCATACAAAACACGACATCATACTTGATACTAATTATAGCGCCTATCATGAACAAACAGCAGCAGCAGCTCAGATAGAGGTAACAAAAATTTTACTGTCACTGGCTACAAAAGCTCTAACTTTTTATATAACCTACAAATTTAATCAAGCCATTAAGTGGTAGGAATTATAAAGGCTAGAGATTAGTGTTTGATGAGAACATCAGCAGATAAACCAGGATAGATTCAGTGGCAAAGACAAGCAGTTAGCTGAAAATAAAAAGCCCTAGGAAGCAAGAGGGCTGCGTCAACAAAGGATTATCAGAGAGAAAGCCTCTCAAGTGAAGAAAAGGCAATACAAAACGATAAGAAGGACAGAAACTATTTTAATCCTGATTACTGACAGAAATGAAAGCCAAGCAAAAAGGAAAATATTAAAACGATGTACATTATAAAATTCTAAATTGTCAGTTAAAACACACACTTCTAATCTGTTTTGCTCAGACTAAAGAATTTTTTTCTGCAGAATATTCCATTCTAAATGAGAATCTACTCTTTCTTTTTTTTTCTGAAGATTTTTTTTAATCAGTTCACCCTAACTAAGATGATAATGCTCTAAGATGCAAGGGGATACTGGGACGGAAAGTGAATGAAAAATACTTTAGAAGGAACTAAAAACCCAATCCTAAACAGGAATCAAATGATACAACTACTCCTGTTCAAAAAACTGGGAGGAGTGTGAACTGGATGATAGATAAACCTATCTCGTTCTATTGAAGAAGAAAACGTTAGAAGTATAGAGTTGAAGTAGGTTTTACAAAGAACTGGAAACCCAATCCTCAATCTCAACACCTTTTCAAAAAGACTGGAGAGGAGTGTGAACCAGACAACTGGTGAACTTCTTGATTTTATTACTTGCATTATTCAGACTGTCATCCCCATCTTCATCGCCATATTCACAATGATTTGTCAGTGTTCAGGGGATTGGAATTTCAAACCGAACTCTTTATTTCGTCCTCCAGGGTAGATTGTTCTAGCATACAATGGTTGAAACATTGTGAATATGGCAATGAAGTTTCTGTCCTTGTTATTGTTTTTTATTGCCTTTTCTTCACTTGAGAGGCTCTCTCTCTGATAATCCTTTGTTGACACAGCCCTCTTGCTTCCTAGGGCTTTTTATTTTCAGCTAACTACTTGTCTTTGCCACTGAATCTATCCTGGTTTATCTGCTGATGTTCTCATGTGAATATGGCAATGATGTGGATAACAGTCAAATAATTATAATACCTCATCTCAGATATAGACAGATCTTGATTTTATGCTTAAGTGTTAAAAACAAATGTAATTTTCAAACCATTTTTATTTCTTTGAAAAAACAAAGAAGCAAAAATAGTTTGTAAATTGCATTTATTTTTAACTCTTCATTTTCCTATAAACTATCAAATTAATTAACATTAACTTATAAGAAAGACTTATAAATCACCAAAAGCATCTGAATAGAATAGGTTAATAATAGGTTCACCTAGCATCCAGTTCACACTCCACCCTGGTCTTTTGAATAAGAGTAGAGGTTGATCCTTTGTTTCCCCCATTTAGGATTGGGTTTCTGGTTTCTTCTAACATCTCTGCCTAAACTCTGAAATTTATACTCTTATTGGGTTTCCAGTCCCTTCTAAAGTTTTCCTTTTCTTTTACTTCCAGTAATCCCTTGAGTGTCAGTGGCATTATCAGCTTGCTGAATTGATTAAAAACAAACTAACTAAAGAACCTATTTACATGAATATATTCAAAGCAGGTCGCTCTCGGAAGTTCCACTCCCATTAAACATCTGTCGGCAATGGCTCTCAGGAGGAGGTTGTCTGCTTCTTCTGTCCTCAGATCCCTCTAACAATTGAAGTGATCAAGTGACTGATGATGATGATTCAATGGCATTTAAAACACCTGGCTTCTCACAGCTACTCACAAAGGCCATTGACAGACCAAAAACACTTTCTTTTCCAGATGTTTCAGTAAACACATTTCTTATAATAAAATATTTCAACTTCATTCTGTTTACTTTTGTATTAACTCTTACCCTGCACAATGTCCACAATACAAAATATTGCTAATGGCTAAATACTAGTTGTAACAAATATACTGTGGTCTCAGCAAAAATTTGACCTTGAATTTCATTTATTGTAAATAAATAATTATAAAAGAATCATTATGGATTAGAAAGTAGTACAATACCCTGTAACTAAAATTGATATGTTTTAGGGGAGCATAGTAATACTGAAAGCATTATGCACTCTGTAGATACAGGTTTATTAATAGAGAAATTTGATAAATCTGTGGGATCATTCAAAATAAACTAGTCTTAGAGCACATATGATATCCTTATGTTCTCTATAGTAGAAGACTTGGTTTTGATTAACTTGTAAGAAACAAGAAAAAGGGAAAAAACAAGTATTTTTTTTTTTATTATTTTTTTTTTTTTATTTCAGTTGTTATCAAAAATAACTTTTCATCAGCAAATATTGGAGACTTCTTTATATTTAATGATTTGTTTTTTTTATGATGTTGGACAGCTTTGCTTGTCACTTTTGTTATTACTTCAAAAACGCTCATTATATTTAAGATTTCATAGACGCCAGTACCAGTAGTAACACCTTCCAATAAGATCTGCACTAGTAATACTTGTTCAAGTATTAATCGCCAAATAGTATAATGATCAGAAGAGAATCGTAATCCATATAATAGTAGAGTAGAGAGAGTGAACGTATAGCAATAGTGGATAGACAAGAACCATGAAACTTACGCTACTTCGTATTTATTCACTTTCGTTATGCCCAAGTGATCTACTTAATGATATTGCCTGTATTGCTTACTGGTGATCTAGTTTCAAACTACACTGTCAGCAACGACACTTACTCTTATACAACAGTTTTCATAGACATATATCATTGTTGTTGCTGCTTTTGCAATTTGTGACTGGTTCAGTCTGCAGTTTTTTTTTTTTTTGTTTCAGGTCAAAATTCTTGTTAAATAATAAGTAATTCCTGCCTGAATTTCTGTGATGTGAAGTTATTGTTTACGCTATTTATATTCGGACTATTGTCTTCATTTTTATTGTTGCTATCACAATGACTTAATGGGTTAAAGTGTTGGTTCGTGAATTTGGTGACAGTGGTTATAAGTTCAATCCCTGAATCAGACACTGTATACTTGGACTCAGTGGAAACGGGTGAACAATAACAGAGCAGTACTATAAATAAGAACTAGATGATAGTCCTAGACATGGGCTTTGGAACAAGAAGTCTACATCTGTAGATTAAATGAAGGATCCAGTTCAGAATTTCCTATCGGTCAGTCATATCAACATACACCCAAGGAAGACTGGAGGGCACAACAATGTGGACAATAGTCCAAATATAAATAGTCTAAATAATAAAGGATTCATATAAATGAACAAAAATTTGGGTGCACAGGGGGAGGGTGCTTAAAGTTTCCTGACTGGGGATGCAGTACTAACCTCATTTAAATAATGATCAGAAGATAGATCAGTCATCTCTTCAAATATTTGGTGGTCATTTGGTGGGTCAGCATCTTCTGAGGGTTGGACGGGTGGACACACAGCACCAGCACCTGCTGGAGAGCCACACTCTGGTGAAGGGGGCTGGCTTGGACATTGTTGTGGGGAGGAGTCTGACTCTTCAACACTTGCATCACTCTTCTTTTTCTTCTTTGTCTTTTTCTTCTGAAATGCAGCAAGCTGTAAGGAAAAAAAGCGAAAGAAATTAAATGAAGGACACAGAAAAAAAGATTTGAAATGATTAGAACAAGAACTCAGTGACTAAAAGAACTTGTGATGTTGTAGACTATTATATTCAAAATAAATTATTTCCCTACGATTTTAAATTTCAAAAGCTACAGTAAATGGAGAGATAATGAAATCAAGCATGACAGATCATGTATGGAAGGAAAAAGGGTAGCCATCAGACCCTGTGGAATGAAGTGAAAATACTGGACAAGAAAGAACACTGGAAAGTAAGGTATATGAAAGAATCTGCACATATGCTAGGCTATAAGGATCTCTTCAGTAGGCTTAGCACAGAAATAAATACAGTATGGAAGCCACTAATAAAGAAAGACAAATAGCTGCAAGTCTTCAACAGCAGCTGTAACAAAAAAGCTTCAGTGAATTCAGTCAAGTACGACAAGCAACAGTAGCATTCATCAGCAGGCAGGTTAGGTTTAAGGCTCCAAGTTGTTCACAGAGAATTGTTCCACAGCACAGCCTAGTGGATTAAATTGTTGAATTGTGAATTTATTAACAAAGTAACTGTAAGGTTACTGAGTTGGATAGTGTACTTGGACACAGTGAAAAAGGGGCAAGCAATATTAAAATGAGAACTAGACAAGATATCCCGAGGCATGAGCAGTGGAAAAAGAACAATCTACCTCCACAGATTAAATCATACTTTTCTTGAAACAGAGGTGCTTGTTGCTTGAAAACACTTGGTTTGTCTATCAGTAACCCAATTCAATTGAATGTGAAATTTAGTAAACTTTTAAAGTGATGTAATGATGATCATCATAATTACATGTGATCATCAGGTTGCTGGACACATGACCAGCTCCCTCCAAATATCTTGGTTGCATGTTTACCTAAGGTGGTACCTTTTAGAATGACAGTGTAAAATTGTAGCTCTTAGTCTTATGACATGTCTATGCCATTTCAACTCTTTTCTTAATGGTGGTTATGAGGTCTTCCATTGAATCTGATGGTATCTTGAATTGAATTATTTATGATGCTGTTTGTATAAAAAGATGGCTATGATAGTTCTGTAACATCTCATACCTAATGCTTACATTCTTCACTGTTAATGTCCGAGATTCACAGGCATACAGAAAGATTGAGAAGGCCAAAGCACACAACAGTGATCACTGATTTCAGACAAATGTCCTTTTGAAATAGTCTTTACAGATCTTGTTTTGAAAATTTATATTGGTCCTCATATGTCCAAGATATCAGTCTGAATTTGAGATAAAGTGTTATTATTTACATTCAAACCGGTGGTCCTTATTTTTATTATCATGTTTTGGTTAATATCACCCCACACACAAACTTTTACCAGTTATCTATCAATTCAGGTAACCTTCAGGAAATTTCCAACCAAACTTTTAATTTAATCTACAAGAGTAAGTGGTTCTTATTACATTATCTATGGATATCTATTCTTGTTTTTTAGTACTGCCCAGTTTTTGCTCTTGATGTTTGCACTGATTCTGTATCTGTACGTACTACCTGATCCAGAAATTGAACTCACAATTACTTCACCACTAGATTCACAAACCAATGCTTTAATCCAAGATACATCTTTAAAGTTGAATATCAATAAATACACTATAATCATTTTGAAGTCAAAGGCTCCAAAATATTCAACTGTCAAAAGCTAAAAAAAACTAACAAAGAAAAAAAAATCAATTTTTTAAGAAAAAACAAAACAGATTAAACATGGTGAAAATTTTGCTCTGATAAAAAAAAAAAAAATTAAATTTGTTCTTGCAAAACATGTGCTGATATACATCTTTCTTGAGAAATTAATCAACTGACCAGAAAAAATAATCTACATTCTGACAGCCCATAGATTTACCCATTTAAAAAAAAAAAAAAAAAAAAATGTTTTTATGTCATTTTTATCCCTATTATTTTAAACTAAATGTTCCAAGGAACAAAAATAAAAATTAAAACAACCTGCTTCCTCCAAGGTTGTAAAAGAAAATAGTATGTCAATAGTGAAAAAGTTTCTTTTTTTTTTGATTATCTTAAAATATATTTTATCTAATGTTTATTAGATTTTCAGTAAGCTATTAAGCTTTTAGAAGACATCTTATTTTGCTCTAAATTAACTAGTATACCAAAGAGCTGAACAGTTTCTACAATTTGCCCCAAAATCCAATCTTTTGGAACAATAAGTACCTACAATTCCTTTAAAGATTTAAAGAAACAAAAAACCATTTAACAAAATGAGAATGAAGAAAAATAGAGAGCTGGGGGGGGTGGCAGTCCATTAAAAAAAAAAAAAAAAAAAAAAAAAAGGTTTCCTCTCAAACTATTAATTTTCACACATGTAAGCAATAGCTATACCAGTGAGGAAAAAAAAAAAAAAAAAAAAAAAAAAAAAAAAAAAAAAAAAAAAAAAAAAAAAAGAAAAAAAAAAAAAAAAAAAAAAAAAGAAAAAAAAAAAAAAAAGAAAAAAAAAAAAAAAAAAAAAAAAAAAAGAAAAAAAAAAAAAAAAAAAGAAAAAAAAAAAAACACCAAGGAAATAAATTTAGATTTTGCCAGACACATTTCATGAAATGGGGATATGTTTGGGTCAGAAAAATCAATCAATCATGATGAATACAATTTCAAATTCCAATGTCTTATCCTGCTGATATTCCGAGCAACCTGATGCACATATGCAAAGTACTTTTTTTTTTCCAGACTGAAAGACTTATGAAGAATCTTTCTTACTTCCCTTGGATCTTATTCAAAAATAATTTTCATCAAGTTGAAAAGAATTCATGAGTCACCTCCCATTCAATAATAAAAGCTCAGAAGTTAATTAAGTTTTGGTGGATTGAAATTATGTTTGAAATTTTATTTTGTATAAAGAAAAAGAAAACCATTTTTACCCGATTCACTTCAATATTTTTCTAACTGAACATAACTTTCTTAAACCTTTGTCAATGACTTCAATAGAATTACCAAAAGTCTGCTATTCATAACTAATTTCCAACAAAAGTAAACATTAAAGGCAATTGATGAATTAAAATGAGGAAAATTTTCACAAGATATGCAAAACTAGTTTTGAGAACCAGTAAGTTTGAAACGTTACAAGACAGCTCAGAAAAAATCTATAACGTAAAACAAGGTAACATATTAGTTGTGCTTGCTGATCTGCTGAGATATTCGTTGTGGTAACAAGAGATATCACTTGACAACAATTAGCCAACATGAATTACGTGACTATAACTATAGGATAGTAAGGAATGTGAGAATAGTGTAAAGGTCAGCAGTTTCAAAAGAGATATCAGCAAGTTTAGTTCACTGTATTTACTTTTGCACTAACATTCTTTTCTTTTCTCCTGCCAGCTATGGATTCCCTAAAAGACAAAAATGTGCGCTCTAGCCTTGGCTGGCAACCAGTCAAGGGGAAGAACAACTCTGAATTCAAAACTGGTTGGTATGCCAATGGGCAGATAGTAGTTAAGCTTTTGTTGGCAATCAATCTAGAGATGGTGACTTAATAAAAAGTTGTAGACTGGCTCACTTATGGGGATATGTTAGCCTGTACTTAAAACATACACTGACTGAAATTTGTAAATCACATGTACAATCTGCCATGGGAGACATTGCATATTTTTTAAGTAAGGGTGATCAGGCTGCTTCTATATCGCATTCTATTTGTTTCACAGTCGCTTTGTTTGGATATTTTTACTTTTAATGATTTAAAAAACAGAATTCTTTGTTTCACGCAACAATAAAGTGCATCTTAATTTACTTATGAAGAAAATATAAAATAGCTGTTTATTTTTTGGCAGCAGTAAACTAGCAGATTAATGAATTTGTATCAGCCAATGTCTTTGTCTATAAAAGAATATGTAGTTTCTTCCAGCTAACATTCATCCACTTTCCAGTCAAAGTCCTGGCTTCTTTGTGTACTCAAATTACAAAGAGTGATAGAGTGGGAAAATCTGTTTCTCTGCTACCCTCATCATCCAGCTATCAACTGATAAGAATCAAAATTGAGTGCCCTAAAAAAGGATGGGGCATTACAAATTATAATTGGTTGGGAGCTGCTGGAACTGATCACAAGATACTAATAAAAAGTTAAATGTTCTTTTGGTTGTCACACCATTCTGAAGGAAATTTTACTACTCTTGATGAAGTGAGAATGTTTTTCCTCAGAGATTATATATAAAATCATACACATGAATGCAAGGAATGACAAATGAAATCAAAGGATCTGTCTTGAATGAGATGATATTTAATTAACACAAATTCACTGATGGTTTGGTTTTAATATTTTTTTAATGGAGACTTAGTATTAAAAACAGAAGACCAAAAAAGGGGAAAAAAAGGGGAGGAGAAAAAAGGGGGAGAGAAAAGGGAGGGAGGAGAGAGAAAAAGGGGAGGAGAGAGAAAAAGGGGAGGAGAGAAAAAAAAAGGAGAGAAAAGGAGGAGAGAGAAAAAGAGGGAGGAGAGAAAAAGGGGAGGAGGAGACAAAAGGGGAAAAAGACAGAAAAAGGGGAAAAAAAAAGGAGGGGGACAGAAAAGGGAAAAAAAAGACAGAAAAGGGGGAAAAAAAAAGGGGGAAAAAGACAGAAAAAAGGGAAAAAAAGACAGAAAAAAAAGACAAAGGGGGAAAAAAGACAGACAGAAAAGGGAAAAAAAAAAGGAAAAAGGGGGAAAAAAGACAGAAAAAGGGGGGAAAAAAGACAGAAAAAGGGGGAAAAAAAGACAGAAAAAGGGGGAAAAAAAGACAGAAAAAAGGGGGAAAAAAAAGACAGGGGGAAAAAGACAGAAAAAGGGGAAAAAAGACAGAAAAGGGGAAAAAAAAAGACAGAAAAAAGGGGAAAAAAAAGAGGGGAAAAAGGAAAAAAAAAGACAGAAAAAGGGGGAAAAAAAGACAGAAAAAGGGGGAAAAAAAGACAGAAAAAGGGGGAAAAAAAGACAGAAAAAGGGGGAAAAAAAGACAGAAAAAGGGGGAAAAAGACAAAAAAAAAAAAGACAGGGGGAAAAAGACAAAAAAGACAGAAAAAGGGGAAAAAAAAAAGAAAAAGGGGGAAAAAAAAGACAGGGGGAAAAAAAGAAAAAAGGAAAAAAAAAGACAGAAAAAGGGGGAAAAAAAAGACAAAAAAGGGGAAAAAAGACAGAAAAAAGGAAAGAAACGATTAACAGAAAAATAGAAGCCAAAGCTCAATCCTCATTCAAAACCCCAATAGTAATGATTTAATTAATCTTAGACAACATTAATTTTAAATAGGTCCTTTCAAACACCCACCCACCCCAAATCTCACTTCTGTTGCTTTTTAATGTCATTCTCAGATTGTTTTCAAGTAGCATCCTTTATTTTGGATTCCTGTTTTTATCAAATCAAAGCACCTCAGTGTGGGGTTACTATTAGCAATAATTACTATTGACCAGTGAATTCGATCTTCAATAGTTACCCTCATACAAAATTCATCATTAAATAACAAACATCAGTTGACATGTAAAATCAACCAACCTAACAGTGCCATTACTCAAGATATATGGCTCATTGGTTAAGCCTTCATGGCCAAATTAACAAAAGTACTGTTACAGGATGCCAGTTCAAATCTCACCAATAGCTTATTCTTTATTTTTGAACCATGTTTCTAACTTAATCAGAGGATTATGATCTGAAAGTTACATTAAAAAATGAAGAAATAAAATGAAAGAGTAGTGAAACATTAATAATAATTATGGAGACAATATATAAGAGAAATTCAAAAATTATTTAGGGATTTAATCTAGAGTAATGGTTAGAAAATTACACAGTAATGAGTTTTTCCTCCTCACTGGTTCATAATTGACATTAAATAACCCAAGAAAGATTGACATGTCATAAAACTACCATCCAAAAATAAAATGAAAAGGGTGCTGCAAGTATTCTTCACTTCAAATTTACTGAACTGATATTTACATTATTTGAAAAAAGGGATCAAGAGAAGAGAAGGCAAGAGAAGAGAAGGCAGAGAAGAGAAGGCAGGGAAGAGAAGGCAGGGAAGGGAAGGCAGGGAAGGCAGGGAAGGGAAGGCAGGGAAGGGAAGGGAAGGCAGAGAAGAGAAGGCAGGGAAGGGAAGGCAGAAGAGAGAGAAGAGAAGAGAAGAAAAAACAAAATTTTCTGAAGTCAGATTAATAAATAAAAAAATCCATTACTTCTTTAGTAATCTGAAGTGTGTTTGGATACAAAACTGAGGAAATATGAAAATTTCAGTCATCTATGAGGAGAAGAATTTTGCTTAAATATTGTATTCAGCCTTGCTTGACCAACTAAGTTGTTCAAAGCTCAGTCAGTATAGAGCATGTCAGATCTAAAGACAATTCCTTCTGCTAAGGGAGATGGGAGTTCAAATCCTGTCAGAGAGCACATATTTTCTTTAATAAGATTTCTCAAATATTCAGCCCGGTAGACAAAAATTAATAAACATACTGTTTAATAAATAAATGAAGTATCTACTTAAATACAAGTATACCACTAAAAAATAACATTTAAATTGATAAAAATGTTTGACAGTATAAATGGTAAAGTCCCAAAGAATAGTGACTTCATGACCTATGATTAGTTCAGGTTGATGTGCATACCATTTTTCAGCATATGACACCCAAAAATATTGACATATCTTCTAATGAATATAGTGTCTCATCTCATTATGTCAATTTTTATAGTTTGACATAATGACATTAGGTACTATATACAATGTCAGGACTGGACAACTAGACACTAATTGGTCAACTATCTCAACATGTTGTTTACATTATTATTACTGTTTTTCTTGTTTGAGTACTAATAACTGCAAAATGGCATATGAAATTGCATACGTCTACCTATATTTATCCTATTTGTTTGTCTTTCTTGATGTCTAGATTTTCAGACCTCCCACAGTAACTTATTCATAATAGTGACATTTACTAAAAAAACTGGCACAGGCATATATATATATATATATATATATATATATATATATATATATATATATATATATATATATAGTTGCTTTTAACTATTCTTAGCCAAAGTAGATAATGTGGGTCAGGAAACACAACAATATCTTAATGATTGTTAAAAAACACAGAAAAATCAAGTTTGAATACCAACTGGGACTGATTAGGTAACAAAGCCGCCCTGAGGGCAACACCCAAGTGAACCGATACGCAATTCCAGTTTGTTTATCATGCTACAGTAGATATTCCCAAGAGAAACTGTTTATGTTTACTTTAAACTAATATCCTTCAAAAAAAGGCATAAAACCATGTCTCCCTTTGCTATGGATATTTTTTCCAATATAGTTTCACCAACAATCCACAATGAACAAAAACAGGTGTGCAAGTGCTTGAGTAAATCATTCTTGCAGGACTACTTGAAGCGTCGAGGTAATAGAAGTAAAAAATTGTACATAAAAAAAAAAAACAAATCTTTGTGTGTGTGTGTATATATATATATATATATATATATATATATATATGTAGACAGAAACTATAGAGACAAACAAATGCAAAATAAGTACCACATTTGACGGCATATAAGGTGCACTTTTTTTTTTTTTTTTACTAAATATATCTTAAAATTTCCCTGCATCTTATATGCCATATGTAGGTTTAAAATTTGTGATAGTCAGATGAAATTAGCTACTTGGCAACTCCTATTAGATTATACTTTATAGTAACTTTCATATACCTATTGTCATTATTTAAAAGGTTATTATGCAGATTAAAAGTGTTATTGATAATATTCATTATATTAGTTTCATCATGTTTAATATTAGTACTTTGTTTCACTAAAATTATATGTCAAATTCAAATTATATATTTGTAAAAATAATTGCTTCATTAATATTTTTCTTGCGATAACTTCCAGTTGCATTGGTATAGATACAATCAGAATTTTTATATCCTAATTATTCCACTAAGACATTTACAAGATACAGGTTGTACAGATTATATAAAGGACTAGCAGTAGAGCCCGGCGTTGCCCGGGGATGTAACAGTAAGATATAGATCAAGTATCGACCATCATAAAGACTGAAAAATAAAATTGACAAAGATTATTGTTTAAGGACACGCATGTCTTAATTAGTTTGTCTTTTGTTTTGTTTTTTTGGTGTTTTTTTAACGAATTGGTCAAACCCAAACTCAAACAAAAACATTGTTTTCAATCATTATGAGTCTATCGATTGACTAGAATTTTATTATAAACAATTGTCTTGTAAATGGAATTTTTTAAAGCATTCTGAATGTAAAAATAAAAAAAAGTGTGCAAGACAATAAGAAACACTACCTGCCAAAATAAAAAAAAAAAGTGAAGTTTTGTTGAAATCGGTTGAAAAATGTAGGAAATCCGATCCCATATATAAACGAACACACACACACACACACACACACACACACACAACTTGGGTTTTATAATAAGTATAACTCGATATGAGTTGTCCCCCTTTCATTCTGGCGACTTAATTGTGTTTTCCCAATTTTTGGCGCTGTCAGAACCACCGCAAGGTAATTTTACACAGTCCTGTGAAGTTTCGTTGAAATCAGTTGAAAAATGTAGGAAATCCGATCCAATATATAAACGTACAGACACACACACACACACAATCTGTGTTTTATAATAAGTAAGATATAATAAAGCTTTTATAGGCTCATATTCTTTTTTCCTATTATTTTTCGTTTAATTGTAATCATAGCTTGTTTAACCAAAATAATAATACCTCATAAATATAGCCTAGGCTGTACCATTTACTAATAATTTTACTAATTACTAATTTTTTTCTTGATTTGCCCTGCTGAAATTGGGGTGCGTCTTATATGCCGTTTAATACGAGAAATGTAATTAAATATGTAATTGTGCAATTGAGTAGCAATCCCATTTTTATACAAGTTTCATTGAAGATGACTGACATTAAATTTTTCTTGAATTTGTACAAGTAACTTCTTTTCTGGACATAGTGTGTGTAAAAATGGTTTAAATGATCTGTGGATCCAGACACTTTCATCTAACCTACAATCCATTATCAAATGATCATGCCTCAAGTGGATTACTGTTGGACACCATGCAAAGTTTATTCCTATATCCACAGTCTATATCTATAAACATTATCTACAATATTGAGTAATCTAGGTATCTCCATGAGATTTGCTGGAAAATGAGCATAGCATGATAAAAACAGCCTTCAACTTGACGAAAGCAAAATTTTATCATCAAAATGTTTGTTAGTATTAAGAGGAAAGAAAAGGGTATTTTTTAATTATTTAAAAAATTTTTTTCCGTGTTTTTACAACATTCTAACTTTTGATAAAAAAAAAACTGTCTCTTCATCAGAGGAAGTACTAAACGTATCAATTTTTTTGTGCATTGTTTCTTTTTAATGAAACTTCAGAAACTACCCAGGAATGATGAAAATTATTATAAATATGTTATTTTTTTTTTTTTAAAACTCATGATATATATCTATATATCTATATATATATATATATATATATATATATATATATATATATATATATATATAACCCTCCCTATAAAAAATTTTTATGAAAACTCTGGAAATTCAATAATGAAGCATGCAAGTCATTATATTAGTTAAAAACACAAGGCATTGAGAAAAGTAAATCAGGTTTTGTTCTTTTAAAAATCTGACCTCATCTACCTAAAAATCAGTTCTTAATTGTAACATACAAAACTCAATAAAACAAAATTATTTAATTCCAAATGCTTTTAGTTGTTTTTATGAATATGCATAATATTGTCTGAAGGCAAAAAACTTTTCGATGAAAAATGAATTTTTAAAAGAATTGTTTTTTCTTAAATTATTTTATGTTTACATTATTGTTAAGTATTGTAAAATTAGTGGAAATGGTGAATGCTTTACTTAATTGTTTTATAAAGTAAATGTATCTGTACAGATTATAAATTGCACAAGTTTTTTTACAATCAACGAGCCTTCAGTTAGAAATATCTTACTGTTCCTCGCCTTTTGTGTAAAAAAAGACAAAAAAAAAAAAAAACGGCTATAATTCAAATGTAAAGAAGCCTGGAAGAAACATGATACAATAAAAAACCTCATCTTGATTTGATTTTGTATATAATGTTGCTCGGCATTGTTAACGGCCTTTGCATTAAGCGAAGCATGAAAATTTCATGAAAGTCTGATACCAGTTGCATTGAATTTCTAAT